TTAGTTCTAACACATTACGCAAGTCAATGGATAAACATCACAGGTCGTTCAAGTGCTCGAACAGACCGACACTATTTATCGCGTTAGAATGGTAATAATTTACATTTACGTTATTTTAGGTTCTTCATCTGCACCTCCCGAAGTCAGATCTTTCCAAGGTCACCACATTTATTTTGCAGTGAGCGACAGGGCTAAAATACTGTTCTATTATAAGAAATGCTCAGGTTCGGACATTTTGTTATCAATAAAAAATTGTTTTGTTGAGATAACCCAGAAGAGGTAAATATCTAGTTATTATTAAGTAAACTAGTAATTAAAGTGTCCCTTCTGGTAAAATATCTGTGACGTGGCTACTTAGCATCGGGGCATATCATCTTCTACGGCATATAGAAAAAATTTGGCATTGGCATAGGCTTATTCGACATTTTTGGAAATGAATGCTAAATAGATTCTAGCAAGATGTTCGCTGTCACACCTCACGACATTCGAACTAGTTCTAGTATTACCTTACGGCTCGTTGACAGTTTATAAAACTGTAATTTAGTTATTTTGGTTGTTGAGTTTACAAAATATTATATAAATTCAAGGTTCGCTTCATAACGAAAGGCTAATATCATATTGCCTAATATATATATTATGGGTTATCATCTATTTTGTATATGTATGTCTATGCACTTTTTGAGTCTTAAAGTGAGGGGTTAAACAGGGTAAGTAAAGTTTGTATGTATCCATGTAAAAAAGATTACGGAAGCGGCTCCAGCGATTAGATTAACTTTGGTGGCCGGCTTGGCTCTACGAAAAAACTTTATGTCGAAAAACTTATATATGGGAAAGCTTTTTTGCTCAAAGTTATAAAAACCGAATTAGTGCAAGTCATGATGTCGGGGAATTATACATTGCGTTTTATAAAAATATCATCCCTTTTTATTCAACTGGGTAACACAGGTATTAAGTGGTGGCACCTGTTCGACCCTACTCTGGGCCTGTAAGGCCCATGCTCACTTATCCCCCCAGCGTCTTACAAAACTCGTACAAATCGAACTTTTTCAATGCAGGCTTCTCATAAATCAACATTGCCTTTTATTGATGCGAATTTACTTCAGAGTGATTCTAAAACTAGCTTGGATATCGAAAGCCTGAACTAAATGTCAACACTTGTCCTCTGTCGTAAGTGCAATACCTTAAATGACTGCGCAGCCTTTCTACCTCGGCTAAAACCTTTTACCTTATACCATTGCTACTAAAAGCTTCATCTACGTGCATCTACGCAACATCAGCTGCTGTAGATATTTACCGTATATCAAGCGCCTTTTTGTAGATAAATGAAAATATAGTCGCCTTGTTGCGGACCCATTAGAGCGCCTTAATTCTCTCCCTTGGAGATCGCCAGGCATTAGCCTCATACGTCCACTCAACTCCTAGCTCGCCCGGCCCAACGTGAGTCGCGCACGATTTGCCCAAATGCAGGCAGAGCAAATACCGGCGACAAGAGGCCAAGGACCCAGAGCCGATACTGACGGATAGCTGCTTACCCGCCAAGTACATGTCCTATAAAGTCCTATTCGAACCATAGGAATTATCGACCACCTTTCTATCCAGTTTCGCCTTTCTATCGGAAAAATTCACTGTGCCTGGTATTACAGTCACAATATCCAGTCAGCAGCGGCAGCAGTAACAACAACAGGAATGGCCGCAGTTCACAGATCGTCTCTGGCAACGTGGCGATTATGATCACAAAAAGAGTTGATATTGGTGCCTGCAACGATGCGGACGGCGCAATTAATTGCGCCAACGGTGTGCGGCAGCACCACGATTCAGCTGTGGAGCATTAACTCTATACTAGTGGTTGGCGATTGTGAACCGTCGTAGAAAAGGGAAAACACATTGGAGCGACAACAACAAAATAGAGGGCTCACTCGGCATTTGATTGTTATTGTTATGCCTGGCCCGTAACGTTTGCGATAGCTGGTGCCCGCTGTTGCCATCGCCGCTGACGTCGGTGCGTATCATCGTCAACGTTGTGGTCGCTGATTGCTGATGACTGAACGACGTTGTGGTCGCGACCGGTCATCCCGACGCGCGGCGACGGCGGTTCTTACTGTTGCCTCCGTTGCTGTCGCTTATGCCGTTTGGCCATCCATCGTCGCGCCTCAGCCCGCTTTTTTGTTGACGCCAAAGCTGCCCACTGAGATTTGGTTGCCACCAACCGAAAACGCGAACGGACAGATCGCTAGTTGTAGTGGCGCTCAGCTGTTGCAGAAGGACTGAAGCAGAAATCGAATAAGAAGGTATTGTCAAGGGCTTTATTCCGTATTTGTTGTAGTCAAGCAAAAACTCGCACAAGCTGCAGTTCGGGTAGATCTGTCTTCGGTGGAGTACAGTCGGATAGTAATGGTTAAGAAACTAAGTTGGTGTTGCCTCTGTTGTTCGTTGACAAAAGCAGACAATACGTGAACGACGGTTGCAGGACAATAGGATCAAAAGACAAAGTAGACGAAACGAAGGACAACGAGGAAGGCCATAGTTCGATGGCATTTTATTTCAGTCAGCCTCGCTGGTTGGTACATTCAAGAAAGTGTAATCACGAAAACTTTTAGAACTACTGTGTAGTTAGTTTTTGTGCGGACTTGAAAGATGTAGAGGACTTCAGAGGGTTGGTCTAGAGGGAAGAGGTGACGAGCACAATAGACGAAGTCATTTGCAGGATTGCCTCTTAAGTGATAGAAAAAACTATTTGGTGATAGCATACGCGATGGCGGTAAGTTTGTTCATGTTGTATAACGTGTGTTTTGAATATGAGCTAACTTGTAGAGAAACGTCTTTGACCGAAATTCTATTATTTATTCACTAGAGAAATTAATAGTGTTACTGATAGCTGCAGATTGAGTGTAGCTGATACTACCTCAATTGATTTGATAACTAGCCACAAGGAATAGAAGGACGTTAAAAAATACCAAGGTTGAAATTTTGCCTTCGTTTAAAAACAATCACCACTTTTTCTAGTGGTGTTTTAATAGTTTGGACTACACGTAAGTGCAGACTGTACGCTGCCTTAATCGAAATATGGTTTTTTAAGCGAAAGTAGCCACAGTAAAATATAGGTGTTTGAGTTAAAATGATCTAGGTAGCTAAAAGTTAGGTTTGGATCTGATCCTAAAGCAAATACGTCAAAATTCTTTAATCCAATGCAGTGCGTACTGCACAAACAGGAAACAAAATAAATAAACATGATCATTAAACGAATGCTCTTACTCAGTTTTTTACTTCATGAGAACGTATATCAACTACGTACACAGCTGATTCATTAAAGTTACGATTATTGGTTTTCGACAATACTTAGACTATCGCTCGACGTAGTTAGCTACGAGCTTCTGTTCGTTGTTCACACATTTTATCTCCCTCGTGGTACATCCGTTACCTTTTTACTTACTGGTGACGGACCGCATTAGCTGGGAAATAAAGTTCGGTGAGAATGATGAAAATGATCTGACTGCATAACTTAACCCAGTCTTGCTTGATCGAATGTGTCGTAATACCGCACTTCATGCTATCAGCCATCTATCAGGTTGTACCAATCCCGCTTGTACCTTTGATGACGGTAGCCTGAGTTCTGCAAACTTCAAGATGAAACTAACACAATTATGATGAGCTATATGTCTATAGATCGATTGTATCTAAAACGAGGAATGTAATTCGCTTTTCGGAGAAAATTGTAGACGTTATTGATTCGCAAAGTTGACCTCGTTGGGTCGAAAATATGATACGTTTCATGTTACGTTTTGAGTATACTTCTATAACACTACTACTCCCTGCACCTATAGCGCTTGTTGGCTATTGAACAGCACGATTGGCTTGCGTTAGGTGTGAGTCGTCTGTTGCTAAACCGAATGTTCGGAGCGCGGTTTTTTTAATTTTAACTTGCTTTTCGAGTCTGAGTCATTGGCATTCGTTGTTTCAACATTAGTTGTCATTTATTAGTTCTTTACCTATCGTTTGAATACCAGGCCTCCATGCTTAATAAAAATTTAAATATGGGACGCACGCTATACAGAAGGGAATTGCCTGGTATAAGTTTCTGTTGTGGCGTTTATGTTTTGTCTGTCTTAGCCTGTTTGTATAATGGAAAAAAGATCAAAACGTTATGGCGGCTCCAAATCATACGGCGGCTGGCCCGTTTATACCCTTCGTCGCTTCAGATGGCATGGCCCTTATTCTATCATTTTGATGTGCAAACGCGTTTTCAATGGGTCTTGTTCCGTTCATCAGCAAGAAAGATTATTTCTCCCCTGTTGAAGTGAGGAATAAAAATTTTTTAATTATAGGCAGAACCTGGTATACAACAGCACTGCGCATATTAAGAGAGGTCAATAGAAGCAAAAAACTTTGTTTTCAGTAACTCTCAAGTTGTTTTCAATGCATTGTATACTATCACACAGCCAGTTTTTGTGGATACACTTTTCGTCGCTCACCTCAGACAATATTTGTATTTTCGCTAGGAAAACTATTCAAGCAACGAATACGACGAGAGCAAGAAGCGGCGAGTTAATGAGCTTTCCCCTCCAAAACTCCAAAAAAAAAATATTAGGCACAGTAGCCAGAAAAACAGTCGAGTATTAGCACCATCTAAGTCTGGTAGACTGAGAACATTCCTAATATGTAATTTCTGCCTGTCGAGCAAGAATGACATAATCATGTATTTTAGATCAAAATCGGGCTACATTACAGAGTAAAACCTGTCAAGTCAACCCTAAGAGCTATTGGCAAACTGTCGCATGTTAAAATACTCTTAGAAACGTAGACGTCAGTATCATTGGATCGTCTATTGTTTATTGGTTGGTTTCTCAAAGAAAAATTGAGTTCGAAGTTGAAAAAATTAATTATAGCTGAACAGGACCTGGGCCGGTAAACGTTTGTAATTAAACTGTAACTTTTTACTGGTCATGTCATTATCAGCATTTAATATAATATTTTTCTGCAATGATTTTATGCAGAGCGTGTATGAGCCACAGTTCTAGCGATTTTCATGTCAGTAACAAAGTGTATACGGACAAAAAAACGAAAACGTTAAGCAGTCGTGTTTCCCAAAAAAAAAAATAAAAACTACTCGTATACCTTAACGAATACTGCACAAGCGAAGAATCTCTTGACGTTTGCTCCACTTCTTTTGAGGACTATGATTTCAATAATTACTGGGACAATCGTAACCAAAGATATCCCAGCTTTCAGAATCACTGTACAAAGTTATCTGTTATATTGTTGTTGCCACTGTCTCTTTATTGCCATTTCGACCGTGACCAGTGTGCTTCCAGTCTTTCAGTAGATGACCCACCTGGGACACCTTCTCAGAGAGGCAAGGCGCACCATGTGCATACTTGTTTACTTGCCGTTTGCTCACTACTTGCCAGTACAAGAGATAGTGGTATTTACGCACTAGTCGAGTATTAGCTGCAATAAACCGCTAAAAACCCATGAGCTTCCGATGCGTTCGCTCAGTAGCTGGGGCGCGATTAGACTCTCTTGAGCTATTTACTTAGACCCACACATTCATGCACAGACAACGAATGATTACAGACACACATGAATGCAGGTACGACAACAGGCGAATAGTGGCGATAAGGAAGAGCCTGACGTTCTTCGTTATCATTTAGAGGCATCATCCTCCCAATTCGATTCGTTTTGAGACCGAAAAAGGTGGTCCTCAAGGCCCGACGTCACCAAGTAATATCTGATTTGTTCAAAAGCCTACTGAACCGTGGGGTAGGTTTGTCTCGGATGGACAAGTTCGAATTCTGTGAAAGTGTTTATACACTCATTAGACACATATTACGCACTTCTCTCCTTCATTCCGTTTTGTTGATAATCATCTGATTTTTTCGAGGAAGCATCTTGCAACCTCTGCTGTTGTTAAGCTTTATCTGCCTATCTGATAGGCCGGAAAGACACCGGCGCAGAGCACTGTCCAGTGTTCAACAATGACTTGCTAGGCATTGATAGCATTGCAACCAAACTAGGCCGGCATAGTAAAATGAAAGAGAAATGACGAATGAAAAATCTCATGGTATGTGTTTATGGTAAAAGTGTACAGAACGGTATGTCGAACGGTTGAGCGAACTCCACGAATTGTATAAACTACACGGAGCTTGGAGAAAAGAATTCAGTCGTGGTTTTGCCAATACTTTAGAACAGGTACTTTGCTTTTTCTAGGTTGGGTTTCGAATGGCACGAACATCATGAACGGCAATAATGAATGTGGGAAGAATGATTACGCACCGCTATCAGATGAAACTTCACAGAATGCCTGAAAACTTCAGTAACTACATACACGTTACGGATATGGCCCCTAAATCCACGAAGTGAATCACCACCACACTCAGTGAACTGACTGAAGCCACCAGTTACAATGTCAATCAAAATAAACCCGATTACTGGTGCTTGAAAGTAAAATTGAAGGCATACACAGAAAGGGACACATAAAGCTCATTATGTTTTTAAAGCCTTTTCTACGAGGGATTAGTGCCGAATAGCATATAGAAGGTCCTGAAATATGGCAAGCATTGACACAAGTGTTTCGACTAACGAATGTCAAGTGTTCAGCTGCTTTATAATGCGATACATAGTTTTTTTGCAGACAAGAACAAACTGTTGGGAAAAAAATGACAGCCTAAGTACTAACGGCGCCATATAGCAAACGTATTTAAAACGTGTTATTCAACGTCGAACCTTTAGAAATTGAGGGTGGTCGTTTATTTGCCAGGCGCTAGTTGAGATGTTCGAGTTTGACCGGACTTACACACAAGGGTCCTTATACTACGGGGGCGAATTCGCATATTTCCTGCGGTACGACCTTCTGGTACCGATTTCCAAAAGCGACCTGAATACCCTACAGATTGCTTCAAATAAACTGAGGTCATTGTCATTCGCTAGTAGGCTATGACAGCTGATGGAACGACCTAGTTACGGTAGCCACTATTCGTCTCAAGTTTTTATCTTGAAAAACTTCTCGTCCCTCGACTAGATAAGACGACTATTTGAAATTAAACCCTTTAATGTGCTCAGTTAAAACAAATAGAAATTTGGAACACTGAAGGATTATGTGCCTATTGACAATATCAAGCTTACTTACGATTATTTTTCGAAAAGCGTAAACCAAAATATTGAGTCTAGATACATTTCACGCTTCTTTCCTTCGGAAGTGGCTTGAGCATTTCATCGTTTTTTTTTTATAAGCTGTGCAAAGACATCGATCACATATATGTGTATATATATCTCAGTTTAAAGCCTACACGATCGGTTTAGAAATTCGTAGCTGAAGACATAAGCAGCTTGAGCGAGCCTGACAGCAGAAAGAACTGGACTTATTAACAGCACTAGTGATCCAGTAATACAACTACCCAATTAACTAACTATCAGTAACAGCAGTGTCCCACCGGTAACTCCGCTGACAGCTGCAACCTATACTTGGACATAATCGTCACGCGATGCTATTGGCACTTAATTTGCGTCACGACACGGAAGCAGCAATTTCACTTGAATAAAGACTAAACTCACTTCCTCACAATACGTTGCGTTTTATAAATTAATGCCCAAGTTATAGCTCTTGCGCCCAACGAACTAGCCGTAGCCGTAGTCCCTTGGTGCTAAACTCCCCCGTCCATATCCTCGTAGTAGCGTCTTAGTACGAAATCATCCTCAATTCAATACGCGACGTCGGCCCGCTATGATTGTCATTGCGACAGCTGCCACTAATACCACAGCCGCGGTTGATGCTACCGCTGACGCCACCCAGGCGTCCCCGTACGACGCCCTTTTATCTCTGTCGCGTTGTCTTGTAGACCAAGGTCAAGCAGGCGAATAGCGCACGACATCGCTTTTCTTAAGTATAGAAGTTTCGCTGCCGATGCAATTGCAGCCACTGTTACCGGTATGGTCTGACTCCTGCCGCTTGCCATCCCGTGTGTCGGATGTCTCGTATAAGTGCGTATGTTCTTCATATGTATATTGGTCTGCGTAACGTCCTTCTGCCCACTCTGAGTGATTCTCGCGGGTGCAACTCATTCACTATCAGACCGTAGTGAGTGATACGGCGCTAATTGTACAACAGCTAAAACAACGCCGTTGCCAGTAGGCGACGTGATGACTGGACCAACGAGCCTGGAAAGCACGTATTTAGTCGGCTCGAGTCCCAGCTTCGCAGTCGAATGTGTGGGCAAGCATAGATCAGGCCTGCCTTCTGCGAACAGGCGTAATGTCAGAATGCGACTTTCGCAGCTACTAGTGTACTAGTATCCACAACCACACCACGCAGTTACATTATACCAAACAATGATTAGAAGCTCGTGAAATACAGACACACGAAAGCATACATTTGCGAGAGCAGGCTGCATAGATGCACGTACATTTGGTCACTCATATATACAAACTGCGGCGCAGTAATCGTCCCATACACATACACAATCGAGGAGACAGACAGTGTGCTATGGACAGGCAGGCTGTACAGCCACTGTCGTACGCTATACGCAAAGATATCAATACCAATAACACCAGCAGCTCTACACATCCGAGGTATAACTGAACGAATGCAGGCACCTGGCAGCGGCTGTAGCTTTTATCGTTCTCAGTTTCGATCTTGACGGTCGAGCAAATAGATCCCGCAGTCTTAGGAAAGAGGTAACTCGAGAAAGGAAGCGTTCGGATAGACAAGACGGCACGGCACAAAACAACAGTGGACACTACAAAATAAGCCGCTTGCTCTTCTTGAGTGGCTCGCGGACCAGTTGATAAGTTCGAATGGTCTTCGTGACAATGATTCCGTGCCATCGGCAATAGCGGAAGGCTGATCGCGAAGAAGGCGACAGCGATAGCGGCAGAAATAGATACGCAGAAACTGATGGAGTGGACGTAACTGTGCAGGAGGGAGGCATTGAAAGGTCTAGAAAGAAAAGACTAGAACTGATTCGTTTTTATAGTAGCTACAACAAACGCTGCCAACATAATGCCGCGTTACGCAGTGTAAATGATGAATACACATTACGGTCGTGCTGGGTATTGTAAACGTTCCTTGCCGTTGCGCGCGTCAAGACAGAGAGTGATACAGGATTTCCTTCACTTTGCATGTCTGCACGAATCACTTTCCGGTTTTCTTCTTGGATTCTTGGCCGGCTTCCCCTTACTCCTCGGTCCCTCTCTACTGACTGGCGAAGTGGTACCTGGTAGACCTCGAAGTTTCGAGTCCATTTCGGCGTGGGAATTCCTCGACATGCCAAAACATCGCGGCTCCCGTCGTTAAATTGGACTGCCCATTACGTTGCTAGCTAGTTGTGAGTGAATTGTACGGATAGAATAGAATATTCAAAAAGTGCAAGAAAACTTTTCTGCAACAGATACGAACGCACGTCCGTGGAGTTGGTAGAATAGAAAAACACTCCTTGTGACGTTTTTTCTGTCATAGGCTTTTCTTCAAGAGAGACAATAAAGATTGTTAAGCGAACAGACGTTGTGCTGCTGCTTAAGCTTTGCGTGATATTACCGTGTTATACTGACCAGATTCTTTACGTGCATTCTATTGTTCCCGGCGTAATTGCTAATCTTTCAGAATGGTTCGCAGCGCAAGTGGTAAGATGGTTAGGTTTGGCGAATCATCGTCGCTTGAAAGGGCCAATTCGCTGAAGCGTCAAAAGCAGCTGAAGAGCCATCTTGCTACTCCAGTGGAACCTGTCGAAAAATTCAAGGTGTATGTGGAACTGCGCCGAAGGTACCGAGAAGAATTTAACGCGGTCCTCTACCAGCATATGATGCGTGAGTTTGGTTCCGTGCACAGATTCTTCCTTGAGTGCCTCCATGACTTTTTTAATGGCCACTATTCCAAGGTGCTTCAGAACGAGGCAAAAAAATATCGATATCCGGATGTCGAGTTTTTTGATCACCTAAAAATGCTCGATCTTGGCTGTGGTCCAACGGCCTATGCGTCGCTAAGTGGTTCTGCCTTTATCCACAACATCGTTATGGCAGACTTCACGCATGCAAACCTCATTGAGATCAACAAGTGGCGCAACGATATGGCTGATGCATTTGACATCAACTTCCTCGCCCAGATCGTATCATCCCTCGAAAATAAGAGGTAAGACAATTAACACGTAGCAACTAATGAAAAAAACGATGCTAATAAATAATTAATCCGCTTATTCCTGTTTTAAAGCTCAATACGAGACAATAATAAACGGTATATCAGATGTATAGGAAATTGCAATAACTGCACCCTATGCAGCAATTAATTAACATGATTCTCTACATTTCTGAGTTCCTACGGTAATAACACTCGGTCAACTAACCGGTCAATGAACCCATTTCATGCAACGACTGCTATACTTTCACGTTTCCATCATGGTGTGATAGCCTGATCATTACACTACATTGCAGCCTCCCAAAAAGCTCTGGTAGTCGAGACAGACCTCGATATATCTTGTATCTGTACACAAGCAAACCGCATGTAACAGGTTGAAGTGTAGTTATGTCAACGACCGACTGAAACGACTTAATCTCGAAAACATCGCTGACCACGCCCTCAAGGCCGTTTTAAGGCCAGCTTACAGAACACATATATCATAGGCGTACTTACCAGGACCATTGGCCTTTCGGAGCGCGCTGCTACAGCCAACACAATTACGATAGCACGTAAGCGTCGAGACACTGATTCAGCAAAGTCATATTCAAATTGCTGCCTTTGCAAGGTTGTTACCTTTTGCCTGCAGCGATTACCTGTGTCTTCTAGCTAGGTTCTCTGAGGTGCAGCTCGCCTGTCAAAAAGCCGGCACAGAGCATTTGTGGGTCGGATGTATGTGTTATGTGTATGGTGCGCTGCTCTACATAATCGTAAGCTGAAAAGCTCCGACCTTGCAGGCCACTGCAATAAGTCTATAATGTGTGTTTACGCTAAATACAGGAAGAATGAAAAGACTCTACTGAGGGAGTGCAGAGGACATAAGCACCATTATGAAGATAACGTCATTTGTACTCACTGCATTTTTTCGCGAAATTTAACAACGTAGTCGAGTATCTGTCGTGACGTGACCCTGACGGTGCTGAGCGAGGTAACGCGGGGGCAGTGGCGAGCCACTCCTAAAATGAACATCGTTTTAATTTAGTGTTAGATTAAGGGGATACTAGATGGCAAAAGTATCGATGTGTAACACCGTCCCGTACTTTATTCTATTATGCTATTTAGGCTTTTTGTAGGGAATAGAAGTGAGCATATATTTTTCAATGTGTATAGGCCCAGTCACTGGTCCATTCAAAGGACACGTTGTCCACGTGTCATATATTTCACTGTCAAGTTTACTTTCGTATCTGACATTGCTCTGTGTGAAGTCTCGGAATAAACTAAGTATGCTATTTCGCGAAGGAAGCGCATCTTGCACTCTTCCGAAAGGCGCCGTATATGGTAAGACACATCTGGGCCTTAGATCATCCATCAACAATTATGAATTTTGCTTGTACTATCTAGGACTTTCAAGCTTGAATATACAAAATCGTTAAAATAACCATTTTAATTTTTCTGCCTGACTACGTGAAAAATTTTGTTTTTATGGTATAAAATGCGTACAATTATTATGATAAACTGCCTATTTTTTTATCGTACGACAAGAAGTGGACTTTTACGTACCTGTAAAAATTATATTAACGCTGGCAGGAGCAATTACAGAATATGTTTCAAACCAAGTGAAACCGCTTCAATAACCGTTTTTGTTGAAAGCGAAAAACCCATCTTCCCTGGGCGGCACACGGTGATAATGCACCTTGCAGTTCCAAAATGCAACAGTAGAATAAAATGTGTGTATTTTACATATTGTTTTAGTTAATAGTACTAATGCAGCGGTGACCCTCGTTCCTCTCGTAGCATAGCCGATAGCTAGTTTTGTAGTAAATTATAGTGAAATTTTCGAGGCCTACACCGGTTATCGAATCTGTACAGTTGGCACACATGCACTGGTAAATGTGTATGGGAGAGTTTTATGTCATTTGCTGATGTCGTACTGTGGTTGAACTTTCACTAAGCAACGCAAAACAACCGATGAGAAAAGAGGTTTTATTGGAGTACAATTTCAATTTTGAATTTTGGAGTAGATCGATCATTCAGATACCCACAAATATCTGATTTGGCTTTCTTCACAGTAATATGCGTGATGGGGGCTACGAGATCATCCGGCGAACGAAGGATTCGGTGAGCAAAACGTGCCGCTGTGACGTGACCGCGCCGTACATCCTTCAGGAAAGTCAAAACGACGCTCGATTTGATGTCGTTGTTTCGTCAACTTGCCTGGAGGCCGCATGTCTCGATGTACCGACATACGAAAACGCGATCTGGAAGATCGCCCATCAAATGCTCAAACCAAGCGGATTCTTTGTGCAATGTGGCCTCACTGGAACGACTGGCTATACAATTGGTACGTGTGAAGACAGCCTTGTGCTACGTCATAGCTGCCGCCGTTTACATAGCAAAGAGGTCTGGGCACTAAGTTTTTACATGAATTATGCATTTATCAGAAGCTCATGGACGAAAGAAATAGTTATCTTGTCTAATTATAAAGTATCATTGAGTACAACAAGATTTTTCTTTAACTAACCAGTTAAAGTAGGTTGCTTTGTATGTCCTGTTTAGATGTTTGCTTATTCCACACGTTAGAATAAAGAAGATAGTCTTTTTTGCGACCACAGTACAATTTTGCAATGTTCTCAATTACAAAGATGTCAAAGTAAACAAACATTTCTAAAACGGGACAGAACATCATTGAATCACAATTTTGGCATTAAGTCAATACGTCCCTATGAAATTTGCAATTGAGGTAAGCATGGGGCCCACTCTACTTCACACTGAAATACAAATCATGCATGTCCATAAGCACAATGTAGTGATCAGGATGCTTTGCTTAGCATTGTGAGCAAATGCTTGAACGGTCAGGATCCAATATGTACACTAAGATATCGCCACTGTATAAAAAGATGTGATTTGGATTCAACTTCGATCGTATCATACCACATTCGTACCAGTTTCGATATACCTCATAATTTCTCTTCAATAAAGAAAATGCTTACGATTCGTCGAAGATTTCTGTTGTGAATGGACCCTCCCACGAACCAGCGCAAATCGTCATTTTTGGTCAACTACTGCGTCTTATTAGCTAAGCCAGCCGACGCTGCCATCGAAGGAAGTACACATTTCTAACGTCTCGTTGTTGTTCAGTCCAACGATATACGTTTTACGTCTGTTTCGTATTTCGCCGTAAAAAAGATATTCGGATAGCCGAGATGCGATTGAAGAGCACTTATTAATAAGTGATTGCCGTCAACAATGATTAGCTGTCGCATCATCCATATGCAGCGAACGGTTCTTGTTTTTTCTGTGATCTGTCTCTGATTGAAGCAGGCCGTTGCAGGGTCTTTGACTTTGGTATTTAGCCGTCACCTTGATCCAGTGTGCACACGGCACACTTGTGCCCTGTCGACTACATAGAATGTTCGAGAAATGATCTTCACAAATTCATTCGTAGATATATAGTGAATGAACCTTACTGTTAAAAATGAGCAAAGAGCAAACGATCATCGAGTGTCGCACAATTATTTGGGAAGTTGATCTCAAAGCACGTGTTTAAAAACGTGCCCCCAACACTGGACAACAGGGCCCCTTTTTGTCGTTCTTTATGGGTCAGTTATAGTAGCCATTGCGTGCTTACTGAAGTACGAGCGAGCTTAGCATAAGACAGTTTGTTGATATTTAGGGCTAGAGTTGCAAACGAAAGGTTGCAACGTATTATGTCGGACAGATCGTGATCGAACAAAGGGAAGTCACTCCTGGGTAGCGAAATCAAAATATTACAGGCGACATGTTGCTAAATTAAAACAACGAATGGGCAGTACATTTTTATTATTGCTACCACTTGATTATGAAATTGTAAAGCATATTCTGCTGTCAGATAGAGATAACAGTGTGTCATTCATATATAGAAATGAAGAAAAGAAAACGATATAAAAGGAATTGTATACGTGGGAGCACAATGACTCGTATTGACCCTGTAATTATCGAATGGCGGAGATCCTTTATTCGTTTAACGCTGGAGTTGTGGATATATAGATATTGCATGGTACAGCTACCTGTTGTTTTTGCAGCTCGAGAACGATCTTACAGCTAGTATATTGGGTCATTGAGGACAATCTTACCTTTGGCATCTATTGGCAATAATAACTAGGAAAAGGATAAGGAAGCTCTTTATTTGAAAAATTTTCAGATTTTGCTAGACGTCAAAAAAGTAATTCGGTAACCATGCTTACGTATATTAAACACACACACACACACACATTCAAATACACTCGCCAAATAGTATTTTAAAATATTGCTTAGTTAATTAGAAATAGTATTTCATAGTTTGTAGGTTTGGGCAGGTGTAGTAGGTTTGTCAAAGAATCAGTAAACAATAATATATAATTCCAAACCTCGTCAATTTCTGTTTCAATTGTTATGTGCATTAAGAGCAAGCAATATTTATGTTCTATGAAACGTAGAATTTGTTTTACCTGTAGTTACGTCACAGCTTCAACGAGCTCAATATAGGAGCTCCATTAACCATTTTATCTCTAGCGAACAGCAAGGTACGAGCAGTCCGTTCATCATCACATAACATATTAAAAAGCTAGTCAATTGTCAATACAACCAATCAATGCTAATACATCGAGCCTACTTCGTTTCTTCTTTTGCTCTAATTCAATCACCAATACACTATAATATTACAGGCCAAACAACCTTCGATTGTCTGCCACTCACTGACGATATGGTAACCCGGGCAATGGATAATGCCGGCCTGCGGATACACTCGTTCCGCCACCTTAGGAACCAAGGCCACGTTTATGGTGACCGTTTCGAAAGCGCCTTCTGCATTGTGGCCCAGCGAGTGATGCCAATCCCAACGTGAACAACGAAGGATCACTTTAGGACAAAGACTATTTCAACCTGTTTGCTCTAACAGCTTATCGCTTTCAGCTTTTCCTACGTGCTATATTTCATATTTATTCAACGTTGTCCCGTTTTACACTACACTGCACGTTATATTATCAGTTTAAAATATCATGTTTCGTACCTTGTTGTATTGGCTTCTTACATGACGAGTTGCTGGAATATGCCCACTGTATGACTATAGTTTGACGATGCCCCGAAATGTGGGGTGCATTAAAGTTGTGTAATTCACTCAAATCACTAGAGATAAAGTTTCATTGAATTAGGATGATAACTAAAAATCCATTAAAAAATTTACATATCTAAACATACATGTATAAATTAATGTTTAATATATAGTGTATTTCACTGCTTTCAAGGAGCACACATTAGACTTTTCATCAATTAACTAATCGCTATCCCTATAGACACGTTCGTTAAAAGCAGCTAATCAACTTTCGGTAAGTGGCTATTAATGGTTTGTATGTTGATATAGACACGTCACAATGATGAGTAAATAGTAAGAGTTATTTCAGTAAGACGAATAAATTATTCATCCGCTAGTTTAGAGATACGCTCTGAGCTAAAAGAGATTATTCAGTGAAGAAAATATGTGTCGAGTGCTGGATCATATCTTATATGAGAAGAGAAACCTTACTACGTAAGCTCTACTCCCAGAGCGGAAGAGAGAGAAAAAAAAATTTAGGGAGAGTATGATACAACTTGTAATTTAACATGTAACAGCAATCGTGTGTGTACATATTCAATTGCATTGTTAAGCTGCTTCATTAATTTGCTTACTAAGTGAATAAGTGCTGCATAAAGACAATACAACCTAGGACACGTCGGACATATAATATTATACAGTTGATCATATCGGATTTCAAATCACAAAAAATAAAAATATATTAGGCAAACGGAACCTGAGTTCACGGCTGCATTATCTGGAATTGTTCCAGGAAATTTAATCAACAGTGTTATACATTGTTGTACATATAAATTTTGTCTAACAAAAATTAGTTGATTATAAAGTAGGCAAGCAGTTATTATTTAACAGTATGATAAAACTAGGTATAGTATTTCTACTATGTTGAATAGGAGAGCCTATTCGAGCGTGAAAATAATGAAGTTGTTGTTGCTCGTTTATCTGTTGATTTCAAAAGCCTTTGGGTTTCTGCTTACAATATTTGTAAAAAAAAATGGGTTTATAGCCATGTAAGTGTTTAAATAGACGAAATATACAGGCAACGCAAAACATTTTTTTTCATACTTTGGTAGGTATTATCAAGCGTAGCTCATTCGGAGGTCAGTAACTTGTTTAGCCTATTTTGAACAAACTCCTAGAACCTACTTTGCAAAAACATTGTCCATTGATTATTCCGTCCAAGGTGAGCTATCTACTCTTTATAGAATACGAGTACATCAACTCTTTTCTTGTATGGATAAAATGAGAAGAACGAAAAATGTGAAGTAACTTTTGACTCTCAGCTATCCTTTAGCTCTCAAAACCGGTCAGAATGAGTCTGTAATAACGCACTTAAATCAACCACAAATAAAAGTCTGTTCGTTTAATAACATAAACCTCAAGTGTTTCCGCACAAGCATTTAGTTCAATGATATCATCGGTATCTTGCTTCGGTCGGGCATATAGACTTATTGGCAGATTCGATCGTGTCAAAAGTGCTAGTACCTCAAGTTACTCGAGTGTGTAACCAGAGGCTCCCGTTATGATTGGCTTTGGCGCTTCTTGACGTTACTCGTTAAAGTCTCGCTTTAATTTGCCTGGTCTCGTTGTTACTTTGTACTCTATCTTCTTTCAAGTCGAACTTTTCTGAAAGCGATACAATAGAGGCAAACATGTAAATATCTAAAGACGAAAACAGGTGATAAGTGAGTAAAATGCAATATCATCGAACATTTACTTTGTTACGCATGATATACACACGCATATCAACATTGGTAATCTTGCCTTACGTAACATATGCCCGCGCCTCGAGCGCTTCCGACGAGAGAGTCAAACCCTACATAGATATTTCTCGCAGCTAATGAGAAAATATGTTTTTTTAAACAGATAAATGAGTTGGCAGATAATAACGGTCAGATCCTGCATTCCACCATGCTAGTATGTCCGCCCTATCCTGATGAATGACTCTTTTATTAAAAAAGTACCGTTCCAATATACTAATTATTTAATACTGAAAACCGTGTTACATTTAAAAAAAATCAGAGAGGTGATCATTACGAACACCGTGCGTTAACTGATCAATTAGCGTTAGTTAACATAAAACGAAATAATTACTCCAAGTCGGAACAATTTTTACAAAGAAAAGTTCAAATCTCAAACACTGGCGATCAAATGAGGTCGAAAGCTGCTTACTGAAATTTCAACTTGAGTGTTTCCGAAGAGTCCTCACTTTTGTTAGCGAACATTGGGTAGAACTGCTAATATACAGAAGTAGTAACATACGAAAATATGGTTTTGAGCAACTTAAACGATTCCATTCTGTGAATCCGCAATTTTCCCAGAAACAAATCTCGTATCACTCAAGCGACAAACGGGTTGAAGCTCAAAGAAGAATGCTTAAACTGGTGATGAAGACTTTGTACGAAAAATTCTTAACTAATGGTAAGAGCTGTACTTGCGACCGCTGCGAGGTTTAGGTTCAATATATGAGATACAGTATATTGATTGATTATTGAATTAATTTTTTGCAAATTGAATATGTTTACGTTGCAAAGACCTGACGTTCATGCATGAGGGGCCTCAACTGAAGATTGTTCAAACAGCTCAGTTCAGTCAAACGAAACCTACCACTGTAGCTATAGTGGAACACATAAATGTAAAATACAAAAAATACCATACATTTTGAAAAATCTAGCTGTTTCACGAGAGATCCTTAAATTTCTTTAAAAGAGGATACACTTGTATTCATGAAAAAAATTTCAGTAAAGAATACTGATTATATATCACCGAATCAAGACACATCTGGGCCACTGCTGCAAAGAAGACTGTGGAAACGAATACATTGGCAAGCTCCATGTTATGATTTAACTCTTTAACTTTTTTTTGCAGTAGGTTAAGCTTGATTAATAATTTGGCTTACTTGTAACGGCAGAACTGCGGGTTTGGTATATAAGTAAGTTTGACGGCAACAAACAAGCTGCGCAGTAGACTGAGGTGCCATGTAGTCAATAACCATGTCCTATAGGTGCATTCATATACATATTTTTACCTAGTATTATGTGATGAACGCATTCTTACTATAGCATTAAATTTATCCTTTCGCACTGCTATCAAGTTTGCAGGCAGTCAACGATTTTGACATCGTTGTAGATCGCTCTGGTGAGAAGATTCAGTTTCCTTATAGATAATCTTTCATTTAATAGTATTAATAAAAAAAAAAGTTATTGCGCCTCTGAGTCATGTGTATGTGTTGTCAATCTGAACCTCAAGTAACGGTTTTCAATTCCGCAGCAAATTTTCTCACAAAAATTCTAATGATTTGTGGTACGGCTAGAAAGAAATTATTAAGTTGGTTATAAAATTTTACTTCTCAGTTTGCTTTAAATGCTGCCTACATTTAGGGTAGACTAAGCTACTCTACTAGATTTGTTTGTTTGGATGCCCAAGAACAAAACGGATTTCCGATAAAGGCATCTGTTCGGACTGTCCGTTCATGAGCTCACTTCTGACTCTTTTCCTGAATATCCAACGCTGCATGGATCTGTTCAAACGTCATCTGAACAGGTATAAGCCAAAAAAAAATCTCTCATTTATAATCGGTATTTCCTGTTATCCAAAATCACATGAGTGTTAGTGTTGTCAGGCAGCAACATTCTGTTACCAAATCTTTTGTCTGTTTAGCGCCTTTTTTACTCAATTTATTGACCCATTTGGTGACTTGAGGCGCGTCGCCGTCTGCAGACGGCTTTGCGCTTCTGAAGCGTGTGGCAGCAGCTACTCCTAGTGGATTCTCTGGGGTATCTATATTTGGATGCTTCACTATTCGCCTTTGCGTTACGAATTGTTATATCTTTTTGTAGATTCCAGCACTAATCCTGTAAGACAATGATAAAATTTCATATAAGCAATCATGTGCACACGTTCATGCGGTTCGTTTTATGAGTGCAATGGTCTTTCGCTGAGTCCGTGTGGTATACATGTTCCTGTCGGACGATTGAATCTAATAAGGCGACCAATATTTAACTGTGCAGGAAGTGCTTGAAGTGACTGGACCGAATATCTGAAGTGTATTTTCATTGAACCGAAAACCGTCTAAGGCAAGGTTTATCGTTGGTTTAACGTTCAAATGGACATTTGTAGTTAAAACGTTAAAAGCGGTTGCCAGATAGTGCTTATTTATTTTCAACTTCACAAACAGTTCTCGTTGTATCAGCAATACTTGTCTGGGCGGGAAAGTAATAAAGGATATGCCATGCCTTAGGCCTGCGCTTGATTGCGTAGGAAACAGCTACTAATAAACATGGCCGCAATATAACCGATGCAGCAAACGCAGAGACGTAATCCGAAAAATGCGCCTAATTAAAAATTAGATAAATAAACAAAATGTACAAGTACGTGCAAAGTTACGGACAGTACTTACTGACCGACGTGGTATTCAACTCGGATTGTCTTAATGAATATAGGTAGTACAATTTAAGAAGCTATCAAAAATTATCCACCACAGACAATATATATTCATTTGATATTCTTGTTTTTTGTCATTGGATGGAAACATTTTAAAGTAATCGATTTTGTATTTATTTGTACAACAATCGATAGAGAAAAGTTACTAGTTATCAAGCAATATCTTTGTAGTAATGTATTTTTTAAAGTAAACACGTGTGTATGATATTTATTACTTAATAAATAATACATGCTTCTTACAAGAGGCAATAATGAACAAGCGTCCCTAAAGAAAAAGACGCATTATGTGAATTCCCTACATTTTTTTGCCAATAAATGTTACACAAGACTTTTTATTGTGCCTACGAATCATCCAAACAATGCACACTTTGGACAGAAGTCACGTTCATAATGTACCATCAATCACGATATTAATTAAGACCTCGAATATTTTTAATATTCGATACGATGATTTGTTTCTTCTGTTGCAGAATTGAAACATGATAAGCAGTCTAGTTGAACAGAACGTCCAGTGATCGAGTACCCACGCCAACTTATGTTTTATTGGCAATAGGCAGTCTTGAATCTATGAGCTGAATTGGTTGTCTCGTTTTTAGTGGAACCGTCTATTACTGTGCGTTCCCACCGAGATATGTCGCAAACGTAAGGTACCCTGTGTGACCGGGAATTCTTATTGAAGGAATAGCACACAGCCGACTTTCTCCAGGAGGCAATGGCTTTTTTTGTCCTCGTTGCACCTCTCCTTCAATAGATGATCTTGCAATCTTTGCTTTCGAAGCCTCATCCTCATCTTCCGGATCATCACGTTTTTCATCTGCTGTAAGAAAAAATTATTTATTCAACTTTTAGGAAAAAGCGGACTTTTAATTTAGAGGACACACCGGACTTCTCCACATCACTTTAATTCATAGAGTCACAAAAAGGTCTTTTTCAGTGAGAACTCGCACATTCTTAACTTCCAAAGCCCTTACGGGGAGTAGCAAGGTATAAGGTGGTAGTTTTACACTGTTAGTATAAAATTGTATTTTGCCGGTATGAACTGACAGACCTCTTTTTTCTGAAACTTCGCAGCTGCTTGGGCTATCACCCTCATCCACCACTACTTTTTCCTCACGTTCTTCGATTGCCTCGTCCTTTTTACTAGCACCTGTTACAAAGTATTCACTTCCAATTCGATGTCTCTCAGCTCCTATATTTTGTTTAACAAAATGCACCTTTTTCACTTCGTATGGACGCTCAAGGCATTCCATAGTCGTCAGTTCAACACAACGTAGTTCGCGGAGCCGATCGCATGTTTTCTGAACCTGAGTCAATGTTCAAGTACAATATTGTCAATGATATTACCAGAATGAAGGGACAATAAATCAGTACTCACATATAGCTTCCTTTCATTATAGTCGACTTGCCAAAATTTATAAGACCGCCAATAATGACGGTTGAGTTTTAGTTTCCTATCAGACTTTTTCAAATTTGTTGTCGGCTCAATACGTTTCTTAAAGCATAAGGCGCATTTATACGCTATATATTTTAGTGCCTAGTTCGTACGCAGTTTTATCTACGATCATTTACACCTGTTCTATGCAGGGCGAAAAGGAGCAGATCCGTCCCCCTGTGTCTTTTAGCGCTTGAATGGCGTGATGGACAGCTAACCATGGATGGGGTAGATCTAAAAATACAGCATCAGCTACTCCGGTCAAGCCAAATCCATCTGTGCAAACGTCTCGATGAGCGCATATAACGATGTCATTCAGCCCATGTGAAGAAAACTCTTTCTGTGCCATCTCGCTCCGGACCTGTAAGCAATGATGACAATAAATAGTTAAAACAAGTCTCAAACCTGTTGCAAAAAATAATGTCACAAAATAATCAAAGAAAAAATCTTCCTTGGTCGTTTTCGGATCTGTTTTCTCTCTGGCTGCATCGTAGACTGTAACTGAAAGTGGCATTACCACTATGCGCTTGACAGCATTGATAATATTTCAATCTCTGCCTACGGTGCCCACTTTTGTGGGTTTATCTTGAAATTTTCGTAATGGCATGGAAATTGAAGGACATAATAAAATGCAATTCGATGCCAGTTTAAAAATAATGTTAAATCGACGGAAAAAATTGTAAATGCCGGCTCTCATACCTACAATGCGTCATTCGCTAGCACGGATTTTTACCAGTCACGTAAAAGAAACGTAACCTCTTACCAGGTGGAAGTCGAAGGTGTACACTTTCCCATGAGGAGCTACTGCTCTAGCGAGAGAGTGCGTCATTGAACCCGATCCCGTTCCAGACTCCACGACCACGCTGCCGGGCCGTAAATCTAGTTGGAATGTTGTGAGTGTGATGTCTCTTGTATAAAGGATCTGAGTGCGGTGTGGTAGTGCAAGGGTCCATAACTCCGGCGTTGGCCACAGGCAGTGCACAAAACCGTTTTTGACAGCAATCCGACTTCCATACGGACGGCCAATAACATCGTTGTGACGCATAGCGCCGTATTTTGTTTGAAACGTTTCACCTTCCTGAAATAGCAAATGCAAATTTAAAATATCCGGTTGTTAAAATTCACTGAACGTTATAGCTCTGTGTAGGTTTCAACATAATTGTTTTCCATCTCACTGAAAATCACACTGGTTCTATTAAGTATTTACAATTAAATCGAATAGTTAAAAGCATCTTAATGGAGTAAGTTTCATTTCGGCTGTTATTCTGGTTGAAAGAGACGAGAAAAACACCTTGTGCGGTATGCATGTATCTAACATTAGTCTGACTAACATACTGTGAATTACTCGGTACCTGTTGCGTTTCTTTCTTCTCGTATAGTAGTAATACAGATGAAAATCTAGATATAACTTATATAACCCGTAACTACCTTTAGGACAAGAGGGTAGAACAAATTGAAATGTAAGTAGACAATTACTGTGTCCCCCGCCTGGGGACAGTCCTTATATTCCAGAAAACTCATTCCAACTTGAACGACAATGAAGAATTCTAGAATTAGTAATGAATACGGTTGGCACGGCAAGTGAGCAATTTCCTTCAAAATAATGCTATACTATAGCAATTTAGTGCCAGCATTGTAGAGTACTAATATTAGCAGGTGAATTGCTGGCACCGTGAGTATTGCCGGCGGCTCCCGCTGATTTCGAATTTCACGTGGATTTGTTTGTATACAAAGCAGACCGCGGGTTGAAAGGGATTTTTATGTAAGTTTAAATTTTGTGTATCGCCTAGAGACAGCTGTCGAAACGTTTTAGTCAAAACGGAAACTGGAAGCTCTAATAGATACTTGTCACTATCAAGGAGTAAATCATTGCTGATAAGCCGGATCGAGGAGACCATTGTATGTAGGTTTTTGTACCTTTTTATATATCTCTCTTAGTAGCAGGTGAGTTGTGAATGTCGATGTGTGTACCGGTTTTCATCACGTTTAAGCGTTTTATGTTGGTTTTCGTAATATTTACAGTGCTCTGATTATAGACTACTAGTTAAATAAGCTCGAAAGAAGGACTTGCTATGATACCCGTAATATAGTCGGCAACAATTTTGTATAGGGTGTAATCCATAACTCGCAATGAAATTATGGCAGTAAGCAATTTTGATAAGGATTGTGTTGATTAAATTTATATATCTTATTGGATTAGGTGGTTCCGTGTATTCTTTCACAACAGAATATTTGAAGTCTTCATAATAGTTTTGATGTTATAGGACGACATATTTTATAGAAATTCAGTTACTTAAAAACTTCTTATCAAATTGTGATTCGATTGTCAACCGGTTGCCAATGGAGTTAGAAATGATTAAATGAAGCAAGTTTTCGTATAGCTTCATACGATAGAAAACATACAGCAAAGAGAAGAAGCTTATGTATTTATTAAAGAATATAAAAACCTAAAGAAAGAGGTGATATTGTTCTTTTAGGACAGTTCTGGCTAGCCTTTTTAATTTCCGTGAATTTTTTCAGTCATTCTATCATTCTGACATATTGGTCAAGAATGTAAACCAAAAACTAAGTTTTTCATTTTCGCATATCGTTAAATGTCAGTCTTCGAACTGTAAGCTTTCAAACAGTTATGACAAGGAGGTAGGTAACAGTAGGACAAATAAATATGCTTAGGGTTTATCTGCATGATTGAATTTAAAATTAATCTAAATATGATTTGTTTACATTATTTTTGCCATGCACTCGCACTACAATAGGTAAGTGTTTAGTATCTTTACCAAACAGACTTGTGTCAACTATGACAACTTTCAAACAATCTTTTCTGTTCTGCTTTATTTGGCCAGGGAAGACCGAGACAACCGGCAAGATGTATCGTCGAGAAATAGTTAGGGATGGGGGATTTGGCGCTCTTCAAAACCGGCGAGAGGCCCTAGCCGCACGAAGAGACAATCTTCGAGATAAAGTTCTCTCAAATCTTCGAAATATTCCTGAAGTGTCGTCTGACAAGAAAGGTGAACTATGGGTCTTGAAAATATTTCAAAAGAAACAGGGTCGACAATGATTCTTCCTATGCAAAGTGAATCGTGCTGATGCTCGAAGGCTGTATTTAGAGTAGCGAACAGATATTCGTATTCAAAGCAACAAAGCACTAATTTTCATATTGTTATTCCGATCAGTTATGGAACCTCATTCTTACCAGAAAGTCGTTTTACCGAAGCCCAGAGAAACCCCTGATCAACGCAAGGCTCGGCTGGACCGTTACCGTAATCTGAAGAAGGCTTGGGCCGCCGAACAGAGGGCGGAAGGGCTGAAGACGCCGGCGTTCAAGGTTGGCATCGCAAGGCCAACTCCCCTTAAAGAAAACAAGTCGGTTATTGGAGGGCTTTCCAGAAGAATGCTTGATTTCGACGTGAGTAAGCCGATTATCCGTTAGTAGTAAGAGGAAAAAAAACGCGGGTTTGTTATGACTAAATAGTTTACTTAGAGGGGTAGCCACTGAATTTGTCTACTTTACTGTCAGCCCCAAATATTAATGACCGTTACTAGACTGCATAGACAAAGGTAAATTCGGTGTCTCTAACGTTATAAGCCATATCTAAAACTTGCCTTCCCACTATTAACGCGGATTTTCTTAATAGAAATAAACTCGGTATACTATGCTCGGATCTGTTCACAGGTTTATGATGGTGTGGATTCATCGGCTTGCCCCGCTATAAAAAAAAAGACTCCATCTATACGTACGACATTGGCAACCCGATTTAATCTAACTGTCCAGAAGAATCCAATGGATCCTCGATTTGGGCAAACCAAGGTATTACTAGTTTATTTGGCCTTAGCCAATTTAACTATCGAAACGGACCAATTCGGGCGTTATTGAAGCCTCACAAGAATGAACGCTACAAAACCATTTGCCCTACGCATAGATAGTCGCTTATGTAACGTTCTAAAATACCATATATTGTATATTACAATTTAGTCGAACTTATCAAGCGAGATGCACTAATCCCGTATCGAGTACCTTTTCATGTGCTGTAGGTACACATTTTTGAAGGACCTACTTTACTATGCATTCTAGGTGAATCTGGGAAGTTACGCTTAATTTACATATGGGAATCTGTGTTGCGAAAATCTGAAAAGGATCTACATTAGTAACATATCTCTACGATTTTTTAACACTTCTCTCTTATACTCTGTTGACCAGTCCAGATGAGAGCTGTGCAGATACTGCTCGAACTTCTTGAGCTTCCTTTAGTCACGATGAACAACAATTTACAGATGAATAGCAATAAGAAGAAGATGCCAAGTAAAACTGTAAGTAATGCTCCATCGGGCCGAACGCTCTCCAAAATGGCTACGCCAGCATCGACAACGGCAGGAGCACCTTTGACAAAGACACAATCCGTGAGTGGTCAAATTTATAAAATAAAATTGCCCGTAGACCTTGTGTCTACATTGGTGTTAGACGCTTTCAATAGATTTCTCTAAAACCAAGTCGAAGCAATTATTCGAGGCTTGTGACGAAAAATCTCCATTACTTCCAGACTCTACTTGTACAAAGGCCATTAAATGCCATTAGTCAGCTTTAAAAGTAATAATTTAGTTGTTGCCATTCAATGTGCGCTAATAAATGATGTGCCAGAAATTATTACAAATATTAGATATGCTTATTTGCAAGCTCCATCAGCCTCTGTACAAACACAACTCAAAACTACGCTTTTAAAATCAACCGGAAAAGCGGGATTTGCCGCTCAGGTAGTACAAAAAGTAGTAATTTAACGTTTCCTTTTTGAAATGAGTTGAGGTGCGTAAGCAGCTATCATCGTCTTTGCTAATATAGTAGCCATCGAACAATTATTTATGTTATATATCATTAATAATACCAATTACTCCAATTAATACATTCCCTAAGCGAGAATAGTACATTACCACATTTTATTTCGAAATAAGCGTGAAGTAATTTTGTTACACTAAGGTCATATCAATCAAAGTTACGTGTACGTCACAGGCTTTGCCTTTAAGCGTGTTGTGGATATGTGCTTAACCTTTTCCAAGAGTCGGTTTTTAAATATGTGCAAAAGGTAAACAATAACATTTTTTTTCGGTAAAAATTTGTATTTTTTTTACGCAGAATCCATTGACTGCTGCGTCAAGGGCAACTACAACCACTTCATTGATGTTTACTAGTAAAACTCCGACTGGTGTTCAAGCTATTCAAAAACCGGTAAGACTTAAGCCCACGAATAACGTTTTAAACAGATTTTTTTCATAGACAGTAAGATCAGATTTGCATTCTTATCGTTTGTCGGATTTTAATAGAGCGTGATCTATTCTTAAGCCGTTTCGAATGTTTTTCGGCTATTTGGATTCAGTGAGTCCCCAATAAGAATAATCTAGGGCAGCTGCTGATTTATCGACAAAGATAGAAATGTTTAATTATGTGTTTCGCACGGAAAGACAAACCCTTGAAATGATCGAATTGCTTTTAGACACAGCATCATGTGATCTAGACCGTTTCACTTGAACGACTTGCACTGATTCAGTCGTGTATGAATACGTATATCATAGGGCCACATATCGTTTATGTCAGTGTGTTAAGTCATCAGTTAGTCATGAGCAATCCATACATTTTTCGTGCACTTAGATGATTCCTCGAGAGACCCCGCTGTCAGTTCCCAGTAAAAGTGATCCCGGAAAATTAACATCAACCGATGTCTCCACTGGCGACCAGCCTAAAACGGTAATTCATACGCAAAACGACTCTCCCTGTTAGCTTTTCAAAAACTCTTTTAAATACAAGCGAAGAAAGTTAAATAAGATCAAGGTTCAGTGTAACATGGGCCATTTAGCAGTATAATATATCCATTATTTGAGTGTATGAAGATCTTAGAAAATGATTCTGACGATCCAAAGCAAATGATTATACGACACACGACGGCTACAAAAGCGTTTAGGCTTCGGAAGATTTTATCGTACTGTACGTGCTAGTGAAAAACATAACGCCAACACTTCGTATGTTCGGCCGTCTTTTGTGTTGCTTCCATTTACGATTCTAAATGCATTTGTGTGCATAGATGATAATCGGTAGATTACAAAACTTATTTTTGCCCTACGTGAAGTTAATCTTGCTGATGTAGCAGTTTTACTTTATCGTTTTTCTTGCCGATGGGACGGAAAATTTTTACTTTTCTGCGATATAGTTTGTCATTAAGAGGTTCTTTATTTACGTTCACTTACTTCCAGCAATAGTTTGAAAAAAAAATTGATTGTTACAGCCGCCTTCAACAATAAGGAGGACTCCAAAATCTATATCTCGTCTAGGAACGGTGAGTTAATTAGTGCTTTTTGCTCTTCATAGTTGTAAGCCCAATTACGAGTGATAATATTGATATGTTGCGTTAACTTTATTAGAGGAGATGAAGTGTTCAGTAAAATTCAAGTAGGCTGATGTCCTAACTTTGACCCACCCTTCTTAATGATCTGATAGACACCTTGGCGAACAGTTGTGCGAGTCGGGTCGACACGCACCACACCTCGATCGTCTCCTACCGAGGAACGTTCCATCTCGTTCGAGCCATCATCGACATCGATTCCGCCAAAAACGGTAACCGCTTTGAATAGTGTCCACATAGCCAGGTTTTGGCTTAATAAAAAAAACATTAGCTGTGGTTTAAGTCCAGAAGGTATCCTTTACTTTGCATTTGAAATTTATTTAACGACCCACGTATACGCGTCTTATTTTCTAACAGACACCTTCTGGAGCGCTAAAAGCACAGCATACTGCTTCTGGAAGGACCACTCCGCTATCGGCACGGTCAAAAATCAGCCAAGAAATACCCAGGACTCCTGTACCTGCTTCCACTCAAACAAAACACAAACAGGTAATGATCCTTGAAACATAAGTAATGTTACTGTAAAGTAAATGTTTCGAGTTTCGCGTCCAGCAACGCCATTAGGCATCACAACAGAAGTCTAAACATCTTTATGGCATGGCGTTAGTCATTCATTATTAATCACCATTCTTTTGCCCACCTGAATGATCGTTAATTAACGACCAACAACGGCGAGTGAATGAAAACTATATTATATATCTACAATGGAATTATGTATATAACACCATTCGAGAGTTTACTGCTAAATGCACTCATATGCGTACCTCTATATGCAAGCGGCTAGTACAATTTTTATTTATTCACCACTATTGACCGCTGACTAACAACAATGGAAGTAGGCAAACGAATCGTAGACAGTAATGGCCGGAAGAAGCTATGACATAAAAGCTATGGACGAGCTAATATACTGGATAAATATAATCACATTTCCTTTTTTTAGGAGATGACAGAGAATACAGTAAACATTTCCCCTGAGGGCCAACAAGCAGAGTCTAATATATCTCGAAGTAAATCGTTTCGGTCAAGAAATGTTGCTGCAGCTATCAAAAAAACCAGAACTGTCAAACGGCTTTTCGTGGTAACTATGTCGAAACAATTGAATGATTTTTGAGATGCAGATATTTTGCGCAATTTAATTACTTATTTCAACTATGGCGAGATTTTCCTTTATATTACTTAGCCATTATGAAGCTAGTAATGAAATGCAATGAATTAACATTTTATGTGATAGTCAAAACAAAGGAAAGCAGATTTGTTCAGTATCAAAGAAGTAAGCGATGCGCAAGTTTGAGATTTATATCTAAGCGTAATTCAAAGGCTCACTTTTTGTACAGCGATAATTGATTCTATGCGTCAAACAGCTTTGAGGGTTAGTAGATCTCAATATTATATAAAAATGTTTTATATAAGATACGTTGAATACTGTGTATACAAGAAAAAAGTGAGAGTCAATTTTTGCAGGCATCGGGTCTAAAAACTGGACGAGGGAATGCTGCTACATCGGCATTGAAAACCAACCCAAAACCCATCAGAGGGAGCTCTGTAGCTGTCACCATGGCTCTTAGATCTAGAGCTAATTTGAAGTGGACCAGTACAGCTTACAACAAAACCCGAGTAAAATCACAAAGAATATTTACCATTACCAGCCATTCCTGATAAGATTGTTCATGCTTGATGCCAGGCTAATGGTACCTAGTAATAAGTTGGCCAATAACAAAACAGTGAACAATCTCTTAACATTGGATCCATCTATGGTCGAATCCACAATATAATTATATTACATTGTGGTCTCGACAATAGTACTGAGATACAATAGCCGTTTGCCACAAGATTAAGAATTACGTTCACGTTCGCCTTCACCTAACTAACCGCTAAGTTCACTGATACAATCAAATTTTCTATAGTGCTTAGTGCGCTTTTCTGGTGCCCCTGCGAAGAAAACGCGTTGATATTTTCTCCGATAAACAATCCTACACACTCAAAGACCGTTGTCATTGCCTCATTGAAGTCCGAAGCGATGACTAAAGAATACGACACTTCTATTACCAAACTGAGCTGCTTCATCATTTATATTTCAACACTTGTTATAGCTTAGTTCCATTGAGTAACTGGAAGTACTAACTTTAGAAAAAGCCCAAACCGCTTCTCAAAATGTATTAATTTTATTAATTCAGATAAACAGAGTATACTAAAGCATACAAAAAAAAAATCAAAAACTACAATTCAGAGAATATGTCTGTGACTAACATAATTGTTTATCGAAAAGGTCTAAAATTTTTATTTGGGACATAGTAAGAGATCTGTTTTACAATAACGAAAATCAACTTCGAAGTTTAGTTCGTCTCTGAAGCTAAGATGCATTTAGAAGCAGAAAGAGTGCAAAATCTTATAACGTTACATAATATATCTAAGTAACTAATGTGTTTCTTTTCAACAGAAACAAAGACCTACGAAGCTTAAGGAAGGTCAAAGACCTACCGAAGACGAAATAGCAAAAAAATGGGCAGAATTCCTTGCATGTGTAAAAGTGAGTTTACTCTATGCCTAACAAATTTGACGTGTTACAGCTCTAAGGACCTTGTGGACATTACTGGTTAGACAATGCGATTTTCATTAAAATTAAAGAACCATTTTTTTTCTATCTTTCACCGAAACATTCAAAACAGCAAAGCATACAATTTGTAATTCGTCTAGAAAACGTTTACTTTTACATGATTTCTTTTTCGTTCTCATAATTTTAAGTATTAAATATAAGCTCCTTTTACAGGCGCACAAAGAATCGTCATGAGAAACGGAAAGACGGAACTTCAGGAAATGAAACTCGAAATCTGACTCTTATCGTCGACTGCCGATCCCACAATATTATACTATATAGCAGCGCTTTATTGATCCGTTGTTTGTGTTGTTGTATTTAATAACCATGTGACAGCACACTGAAGGAACATGATTAGAAATAAAACAACTTTCAAATCCTATACATTTTGTAGATAAATCAGGCATGTTCGTGTGTGACCTAGGCCATTGGTACGGACTAATTAACGCGCCATTATCTAAAAATTCCGAAAGCCGTGTAAGCCACTAATACGAATCGTTTTTAATACCTATCACTATGTTTCTATGTATTTTTATACGGCTATAAGTTTTTAAGTGCCATACGTATTGAACCTATATATGCAATAAATTATCAGTTATGATGATGGAGCTACTAACCGATACGCTTTTAGTGCGGTAGTTATATAAGAACAACTGATTGTTGTGAAATACATAATAATTTGATTAATTTTCGACTTTGCCATAGAACAGATCTATGTTGCTTTAAGACTTGTTTTTATCTTTGTACTAATAAAACTCAAAGGCTCAAAAGAAGTTTTGGACGGAAATTTACTATAATGCTGCGATTAAGTATCTGTGCTTATCCATGTTCAATATATATAATATCCAAACTAATGTCGTCGTACTCCTGTGAGTTCAAGCCTGTCTATTTTACGAAATCAATTAAAAATGAGGGTTAGTTTTCTAATGCTTAACACATGTCATATTCGGAAAGAAATGCTTCTTCATGCCATAACAACATTGAGAATTGCCTCGCCAAGATGATTTTTACGCAATTTTTTGTATGTAAGTCCTTTAGAACGATGATCAACCGTTGCACGATTTTTTTTTACCAGGTTTCGATGGAAAGGCTAATATAGCTACGCGAAGATTTAGTAATATCCCAAAGTTATGCGGACGATCCGAGATTTAGATGGATCCTGGAGCAAAATGTATTATTATTAATAGTATTATCAATATGTTGTAAAAAGATGTGCACGTAGGTGACACGTATTTCTATATTGAAAATACAGTTCATAATTTTGCGTAGGAACGATTTAAACGTTTGAATACGAAATATTTTTGTTTAGTCTATTTTAAAAGGACATGACTGGAATTTAGAACGCGTATTCTTTATATGCCCTATAAATAATAAGAAAGCACAGCTTCTTATATGTATATATGTCACAGAAATTGGTTTTCTTTTTACTCATATCTCTAGAGAGTTGATAGGTCAACAAGATTCACTGTTAATTCATTTAGGTAAACAAGCACAGTATAGTAAATGCAATTTTCAGGGTGAACAAAGAAATCGCTTTTCTTTCTTTCAGTAGTGTATTTTGGAACTCAGCTTTCCTATAACCCTAATGTACTCAAATATATTTGTGTGCTGCTTACATATTTACAGTCATGAAGCTGGAGCGTTTACTAAAGCAAAATTTGTGATATACGGTAGGTCATTCTCAGATCCTCATTTGAGTGAAGTTTATGCCCCATAGCGATCTGGTTTGTCACGTGTAACTTTCTATAAAAGTCATTAAGAACAACTTAGCTCCCGAGACCTGGCAAAACCTGACGATCCGATCCTTTCAAATACAATTTGAGACAGATGACATTAAGTCTCTAGATGTGTTTGTGTCTGAGGCTTAGGTTACCTTGATTTCTGTGGTGGCAATATACACACTCTCCTCAAGGTTTTTTCCTCCTGAGGTTGTCCCTCGAATATTATTTAATCCAGTTTTATTATCGTTGGTATATTGTTTGGGGTACATACAATTTTACGCTTAAATTTTTCACCCATATCTGATATTACACCTTTTCTTCTCTAAATCAATATTATCATATAATCTTAAAAGCCATCGATTTGAATGGATGAAATCCTCAACTGTAGGAACTGCATTTAAACAGATAATACCATTTGGTCCTGTATACACGTGGCTGCATGGAGCATAAAAGAACATGTTGAATCAAAAATAAATAACTGTGAGAGCACTATGTTATTGACATAGTAAAAAAAATCCTAATTCCATCAGAACGTAGTAATAAAAGAGAGCTCTGGACTATATCAAGACCTAAAAATTAGGTCTTGTTCTTGGTTTCATTACACACAAAGAATCTACCGATACAGAGCATGTGGCGTCCAGAATTATTTTTCAAATAGTATTGCAGCTGCTGAGCTTTTGCTTTAAACTTCAATCGAAGCGAAGGTTTAGCCAGAGTGTCTTAGAGGACACAAAATTGTTTAGGGTAGACAAAACTTTTTCACAAATTTCAGTAAAGTCTCCGCTCTAATATCACGTTTACAAAGATAAAATAAGGTATAATGTTTGTATACTTCCTGCGACCTTATCTCAATGTCATTTATCCTTAGTTTAGAAAAAGTGCCGTTAGATTGACAAGATTTCGGGCCGTATCTATTAGCTTCTCCCAATAGAAGCCAAACACCGTAGGTCAAGGAAATCACCTGTTTCCACCAACCTTTGCGGCCTATTGACTTCGTCGGATACGTATGGATTGCGCATTAAGAAATAGTACCCGGCAAATTTCAGTTTAACCTGAATCTGTGAAGGCCACATATTCTTTGCATCCACGCGCATGCCTACGAGCTGACGCTATTATACAGGCAGGCTTTCGAGATAAATTACCTATAGGTTGTTTTTCCGTGCCGGATACGTAGACATATGCAGACACTGTCCACTGTGTCACAATGTTGTTGACGTCACCGTTAGCACAACGTATTAGCATACGGCAAACGATGTGAAGAGTTTATATCTGCTCACTATGTGGCATTCATACCTGTACTGTTTATCATGCAATGAGAAACATAAGCCGAACGTTGTGTGTTAACATATTCGTCTACTAAATTGATATGAATATTTTTCGGACTCAAACTTCATTTGTCGCCTAAGTCTAAATAGCGCGCCTTAAACTGAGCCCCAAGTCATTTATAGGAGTTTGGGGGTTATACCGATAAAGCGAGCTTTTTCTGAGAGCAGATCAGTAACCCGTTGCGTGAGCTGAATTAAATCAAACGAAGATAAAAAGGCAACCGAAGCAAAGATCAAATCAGCGTGACAGCGGTGAAGTAGTACGACGAGCAAAAGGCACCCAGCAAATAAAAGATGCCGCCCTTGAAATTGAAATCAGATACAGTAAATAGTCAAATGAAAGTGGCGATAAACGGCAGTTGCAAATCAGCTACAAAGTTCCGCAATGAAGACAAGGAAAATGTAAGTTCCTCTAAAATAACAATTATTTTACAAGAAGTCTGTGTTTCTGTTTCATCCGATTTTGCAGTCAGTCGGACGATCTTGATACGTTTTCGGTTATTTTTTGTGCGTTCTGAGCTATTGTATTGAATTATCGTTTGACAGTAGCATTGAATTTTAGGTTAGGTAGAAGCGTACCATAAAACTGTGAAGGTTGTCTACTTACACTCTACCTACAGGCTGCTACCTATTCGGCAATTATTAAGCGTAGAAGAATTTCATACCCCTATGAAGAAATGCCCACCAATGGAACTCAAACTTCACCGGAACTGAGAGGCAGTGTCAAAGCATCGGAGGAAGACACCCACTCCAACCAACAAGTGAGAATGTAACTTACTGTTAATTTAGGAAAAGCATAGCTTTTGTGCTACCGCACAAAATAATTTCGTCACACGGCAGAAACGCCCGTGAGCTACAATTCGAGATTAAGCGTTTGCATATGTCGGGCTAGACACAATAAGATATAATTATTAGGTCTATAAAAGTTCTAAATGATTTGATTTCCAACTGGCTACAGAAGACACCCACTATTCAGATCAGCAGATTGAAAAGGGCGACCGCGACCTTTGCCGACCTAACAACCACAAAGACCTTGTATAATAATAAGCAGGAGATACGAACAGACCATTCACCACAGGTACGTAAAATTGTTGGATAACTAGCGACAAACCAGCAAGATATAATATGTTTACAATCGCGCATTCAACGCCTCGTTGCATGGATATATTATAAACTCTATATAGATGCATGCTTAAACATCTCTCTACTGCACAATCAAGTACTATTACATAACTCATTCCGCCTTGATTCTGCACCTTACGCATCTGCTAATGTATTATCCTGACAAAAGCGAGCAATTTAGATCTACTGGTAGAAGACAGTTAATGTATAGGTCACGCTTGCACCTGCCCCTGTGGTTCGATTCGTATAACTCAGGCCACGGAAACAGTGGACATTTCTATCGGCATGGTTATGTGTATTGTTCTTGCGATTTTTTGATATTCCATTTTAGGTGCATTTGTGCGCGAAACGTAACATAGGAACTAGATCTGATGAAGATCGCTCGTTCAGACGCTCAGTAACTGGTGATGGCTTACAGCGTACTAGCCAACTGTCTTCGACTTTAAGTCCTAAGGTAACTTTTTACAACAATTCGTCATCGATTACGAAGTGTTTTAGTTTTCCTGGTTATTCGCATGTTCCATGCTATAGGCTAGATCTCATAATATCCAGAATCCAACTCAATAATCATGCTGGTTTTACATTAAAGCCAACTCAAAAAACAAATATTTCAATTGCGTTCCTAAGAGCGCATTTCGTAAGAAACTTGATAATCTTTTTTGCAGAAGTTTTAAAAAAATATAGACTATACAAAAAGATGATGGCATTTTTATGACTAATTAAGCATTTAATATTTTATGACAAATATGATAATTCAAGGAGCTCAGAATACTTCAAAATTTTTTTAGGCTTAGATTATAATTAGCTCCACTGGTATCTGCATTATTATCTTACAGGTAGTGAACGGGAACGCTGCAGTGGCAGTCTCACGCTTCATATTGTCAGGCAAATCATCTTCCCCGGTTCTCTCAGATTCCCAGGAAACGGTGAAAATAAAACCATTTAGGAGTATGAACTCATTAAGAAGTCCGCCCGAAGATTCTTCGAAGGTGCGCTGTTGATAGCTAATTCCACCCTACAATCACACAATAATAATATAGACAATTTTTAATAACTGCCTTATTATTATTTTTTGACTCAACGTATTAAGAGCATGGCCTTATTACCAGTATGCATGCAAAAGCTAGGCATGTACCATAAATTATTCCGTTCAACAGTTGTGTAACGACGCTCTTATGTGCAGCATCGGAAAAGTTTTATGAACGCCGTGTTATGTTATGAGGCCGTGAAAATCTGAACTTCATGCAAGTTATTGCCTTTACTTTGTGAATGTGATCCTTAAAAGTGTTTTCTCGATTTAGATGTGGAATAAAGCCAGGTGAGAAATAAAAAGCTAACTTTTAATTTTGACTTCATAATTATTTTGTTAAACATAGACTTTATAATCGTGTTGTTTTACAGTGCGCAAGACGTACTCAAGGAAAAGATAACAAAAGCAATACGATAAGTTCGTGTCAATTAATGAATAGTGCGTCATCAAGTTGTTCAATCAAACCTCAAGAGATGTTACAGGTAAAAGGATCTAGGAGCAGATCTTCAGCAAGGAGTCTCACCCCAGAATCGGCTTTTTCAAAGGTTCGTGTCATTTTATAAATGGGCCTTGTATATATTCGCTGTAATGCGGTCGTCAAATGCGGATGGTGAAGTTTGAACATGACGAGTCCTAAGCCAAATTTTAACGCACACATATGTCGCTTGTGTACGCTTATGTCGTTGTCTTAACTCACAGAGGGAAGATTTCAGCATTGGAAGTTCAGACTGGAAATAGTAAACAGTCGAAAAATTAGTCAACTGCTGACGAATTTCTTCAGTGTTCGTCCAAAAATTACTGGACTTATAGCACGATTCTTTACGCGGGTGTTATGCTATTATTGTCGTAGGTGGAACATAAGAACTTATTTTCTTTTTCGGTAAAACAGTTTCACAATAATTTATTACACTTGGTATTAAACCCTTAGCCGCCCGAACTACGCCGTTTATGCCGTAACTCTGTAGCATATATTTTGATAAATTATTCACAAAATATTTACTAAACGCAGTGGCACAGCAGCTAGAAAAGCAACGCGAGACGCAGTGCAGGTCATTGGAAGAAACGGGCTGAATAGATTTTACGGAGTGGTGCTCCTTTTGTTCTTCGAAGAGGTGAAAGTACATCACTATGTAAGCTACGTTTTACTCATTCCTTTGAATATTTAGTTTTTGATGGTGATTTATGCATGAAAAATTGGTTTTCTTGCCTATAACTTTAGAAAAGCGGGCCGGCAAAGTTTTTGCCATCCTAACAAGTACACTATTGAATCTGACGACAGCGTAACATGGTGTTTATGTATGAACAGCTGGTTTCAGTCTCCTATGGTGTGCGGCACAAGCTGCTGGTCACGGCTTAAGACGTTTGTTCTTCGGTCTTTTTATGAAGACTTTAGTTATTTCCAATATGCTTTTACTTTTATTTGAAATTTCTAATATAAGTCGTTTTTAATCAATGTTTATTCAACATTAAATACGAGCGTTTAACGTGGCATGAGATAAAAAAATTTATTCGCGCGTTGTTAGAGACCAATGCGTCAAATAAACGATCATGCGTGTTCATGGCGGTAAACAGCAATATCCCAGTATGCAACTGACGTGTCATAACACAGAGTTATGCGGGTGTTGAGCGAGCGTGTCGCCCATGCGATACGCCTAAATACCTCTTTAGTCTTTGATCTACTTTAGCTTTTCAAAAAAAGTCTGACTAAAGAGGTTCAGATGCAAGTAACTTTTTGTGAAATGGCGTTATATTTACATTGGTGCTACCTAACATTCGCATGCGTATCAACTTGGCTCAGATAGGTTATGGTAGCCTATGTATACCTATATCGCAATCTTTCTGCACATTTTGCCAAACATAACGACGCGCCATTTTATGTCTGTTGAAGCAGTTTTTCGAAATGTAAAGACGGCGTGCATCATGTGTTTGTACACAAATCTTATGCAAGTCCAAGACTCCGTGCATCTGGCCCGGCACCTTTTTTTATTTCGACTTTCAAATAAGTCTCTTTCTATGTTTTAGCAACCCATAGGCTTAAATTCTGATCGTGATTAAATTTATTCTCAAAAAATGGTTAAATGGCCAAAAACAAGCGTAAGAAGTTGGTGTTTTGCTTTATGCCGAATGGAAGATAATTCTGGATTAAACCTGATTTGGTTTATTCAATCTAGTGAATGGTGACAATAGTTAGGTTAAAAACGACTGCTTTGATTCTTCGCACTAAATAAGCTAAAGAAGTGTGGAAAAGTTATTTTTCCATGCGTTTTGCAAGTTTATCAGAACTGTGCTAAACGGATGACATTTTGAGTTCGGGGTTCATTAAAAGCCATACGTGGGTTGACGTACGGCGACTTACGCCACGTCGCCACAGCACAACATTATCACAAGACGATCGCAACACTTGCATCCGCATGGGTTAGTATAGTACGTAGAATCTTAAAAACCTGCTCTTTAGTATTTTGCTTTGTAGTATATTTGCTTTGTAGACAATGACAGTCTTTTATGCAAATATCAGTCGTCCCGAACTTGCATCGGTCGGACTCCACATCGTGGCCACATTGCAGACTGATTGGGTCGACTATAAGTGACATGTACATGGGATCAATCCCCTCGACGCGCCGTGGTTGCGTTTAAGGGTCTACCTTTTTCATTTATGCACTTGCTGAGCGCAAAGTTCAAAACTGCTCTTTGAGTTTGGTGCAGACCTACTGCTGCTTGGAAAAATCTTAGAAGGCTTCGCCTGAAAAGTTCAGTCAATCAAGCTCACTTCCACCTCGCTACATTTTTTCATTTGGGATGAAAGTCATTCTCAAGGCTGCGTCAAAAATGTGCCATCTAGCCACAATTACTAAGGTGTTGAACTATAAAAGTGCAACAAAAATTCATTATCTGATATCTCCCGTCTGTGTCCTTATTTCATTAATAGTCAGATGTTCTTACTGCTGTGATGCTTCCATTGATCAATTTACAATATCGGATGGATGTTTGGGTTATTGCTGCATTAATCTATCGAACATGTGGGAGTAACACACATATACAGAGCTGAGCGTAAATAATTATGAAAAGCATAACAAATGTGAGCAAAATAATTCATTGCTCCGATTTTATCGACTTCGGTTATTAAACTGATAGGACCTGATCTTTCGTTTACAATGTAATACCTGAGGTTTATTCTGCCTCAACTGTAAGGTTTTTCATATGAACCAGGATCGGCTTTATCCTTTTTTATACTGAAAGCTAAGCTAGAAATATTTGAAAACTTTAGTATCTACATCAATAGTTTTTAATTCCATTTTACTAAAGAGGTAAAAGTCAGACTTCAGGAGTTTCTAGTGGTTCTTTTGAAAACTTTAAAAAGTCTCAATAATTTCCTAGTAAGCAATGGGTTATTCCAAAAAAAGCTGTATAGTTATGGTAGTTTCTTAAAAAACAAATGATACTATATAGGCCTACTACTCTCAAACATAACAGTACTAATTACCTGATTCAAAATAAAATAATTTCTTACATTCAATTGTAACAGAGATACAGGACGTTCTTTATAAACTAGAATAAATTCGAGATTGTTTATTCATAAAGGCATTCATAAGGAGAAGCAGTTTTGGTGAAACCTTTTCCATGCATCGATACCTCTAAGGGACGTTTTTATTCGATATAACGAATATTCGCTTCAATCACGGCTTCCATTCAGCTATAAAAACAAATAAATACATAAGCGGCTCACAAGTAATTTATTAAGCGATACGATGAGTTCAACAAGTTTAAATGTCAGGCAAATGTAAACCTGAAAAATGCAAACGCTTGTGAAGATATAAAACAGACTAAGTGCTGGAGCTTATTTAGACTATGAAATTGACTACAGATATTATGCTTTCGAAAACAGCTGTTGAAGTCAAAATTCCGGGATTATCAAGTTAACCTTTTGAGCTATTCTAGTGAATTTTCTAGCCCGTTCAATACGGTATCTACTAGGACCTTCCTTTTTACCTCGTACAAATCTTTCTCGAATTTTTTTGGAAATCGTATACGCACTGGCACAAGGCAGACTTTCAACTTCCAATAAGCAATGAGGTTAATTATTTCGGGGGGGTTCGATGCAAACATACTGGAACACCCAACTCATATTCCCAGTACGAACCTCCTGTCTCTGCCACGGCAAATTCGTGGTTTTGTTTTAAGATAAATTGATTTTCTTCTACTCTCAAGAACAGCGGGTGAACGTATACAGAGGCAACAGACTATATCTTTTTCGTTCACAGTCTTGTATCAGTATTTCGTAACGAAACCTAAACAACAAAGTAAATGTTAGATAAAATAGCTTTATAGTAAAATACTTGCAGAACCAGCTTAAAATGTTTCCCGAAAAATTTTACATTAAATGGACAAATACATGCTAAAAATGTAATTTCTGAGTGATCGATAACGTTTACAGCGTCTGCGAACTCCGTCATTTCATGGCACGAGATTAAACGGGGATCGTCTGAAGCAACAAGATATCCAGCCATTGGTAAGCTATTTTGTGCTTTGCTTTAGGTACGTAATATCTAGCCTTGTGCCTTTTCTTCATGGAGTGTAATGACTACACACCAGAATGCATCCATTTGTGCAGATTTTTTTTTTCGATCTTATTTTAGTAGCGTTATACTGATGACAAGTACTTTGTCCCTTTCGTGATGATAAACTCTTTATATAGACACGAACCCAGACTGTGATACCCTTGAGTCCAACCTCGGTTCTAATGCCACCTCAGTCGGTCAGGACGGGAGCTCAGAATCGTTCTGCCGAACGCAATCATAGTTCACGAAAAGAATCGTCAGCGGACCTCCAGGCATCTTCGGAAACCGGAGAGAAGTATAAGGAGTGGTACGCTCTCCTCGAAAAAATTCGCGTAAGCATCAAACCAAGTGCTATACATAATAAGTTTTACGATATCATATAGAACTATCAATAGATATACACGGTTTGAATAGTATTGGCTTGACTGTTGAAAAAGATGCCTTGTCGGCTACCCTCGAGCTACTCAAATATCGTACGTCATGTCGTCGGTATCTAAAAGGAGCGCGTTTCTCTATTAAAAACGATTAGTCCACTTAAGGCCAGCACAGCAACTTCGATGAATAGCAAAAGCAATTGCAGCCATTAGAGCACGCACGATCAAGGAACAAAAAAGATTTCTCTCTTTCTCTCTTGCTCTATATATATATATATACACATGATGACAACAAAAATAGAAGTTTATTTTGGCGCTTTAAATCAGCCATACGCTCGAATCTTGATAATTTTAAATGTAAGCAAGTGGTCCACTATCCTACCACTAATCAGTGTGCATATATTTTTGCATTTTTCAGATCATGAATCTTTAATAGTCAATCATCAATGTAATACATTGAAATCCTGTAACCAAAAAAAGTTTTTCACTCGATGTTACCAAATGCGGAATATGAAAGAAATATCCAGCAGATGTACAGTACAGTTTTTGCTAAGCAACACAGAATTTATGCCAAACGAGGCCATAAGCAAGATTTTTTTATCACACGTGTTAAGCCAATGTGAAATGCATATAGGAGACTAAAAAATATTGAATAATCGACAAGTTTATATGGTCGAACATGGCCCAACAACATCCTGATAGGCACTAATGATGCGTATGTATATATATATATATCATGCATATTATTGAATAAATTCGCGAAATTTGGAAAGCAAAGTCTCTGTTTGCGTAAGATTAAACGGTCTATTTATTTAATAAATGACTGAATTATGGTGTAAAGTTTGCTCAGAATACATTTGACAAAAGGGGCGTGTAAAGCAAAGTTTAACTTAAAAAGTATTCTTAAATTACCGAATATATTACTGTAAAGACATTTTGGCAATGCCTGTTTTTAATTATCATTCTCCAATCCACAAAACTAGGTACGGATAGAGACGGCGTCGTGCTTCCACTTAACATTTGACTACACAGCTTTTTAGCGTTATTGCATAGCGCATATGTTATAGCACCGTGCAAGGGCAATGAACAGCTCTTACGCCTTTAACAGAAAATTTTCTGATCTCTGTTGTTTTGCTAATCTTAAAGCGAAACTCTGATCGTGCAAGATTCGCCCCTATCCATCATAAATACTATTTCTACACTTAACAAATATGCTTGATAAACAATTATTGGTGAAACGCTTTCTACAACTGCAATGCCTGGGATAAGAAAAAATCATTCAAATTGCTTTTGGCACTCAATTAATACACATCCAGATGTTTGTAATCGTTCATTTATCACCTATAAGTTCCCTTGAAGAACATCTTCAGCTGACTCCCAAAGCTAGAAACAATTGTTTATCACTGTTGGAACAGCCGATGGACAGCGAGACATTTTAATATTGTTAGGCCAAAGAATTCCTTGGTGATATTAGGTTCTTTATGCAACCGTTGCATGATATATGATGGTACGACAATTTCCCCCTGTTGAATACACGACCACAACGCAGGCTCACACGCTATCTGCTCAGAACCGAGTTTCAAGGAAAACATCTTTGCCACAGTATATTGCTTCAGCTGAAACACCTGCAACATTTAGAACGCAAGGTGCACACCAATGAGAAGAACGTAAACGTTCGCTTGCAGTGTTACTTCGTTACTGTCGAATGAAAACGTAATTTTTTCCAGCTGCAACAACGTTGCTTATCGGCTTATTTTCGTACTGTACAATCAGTGTTTTTCAGCCGTATTTTTTATCTGTTGGTCGCTTTTGCCAACTATTAGAATCCTAAATGTTCTCGTACCTTGGGTTGATCAGGCTCGCAAAAATTAAGCATGGTGAACAACATGCTTTCCAGCAACTGTTTTGCCATTTTCGACCCCGACATGTTCTGCAGGTTTGTATAAGGCTGGTCAAAAATGTAGATATCTGCTTGTTGAGCGAGTTTCGAATATATTTCTGTGGCTACTGTATACAAAGCCGGTATTGACGGACGACTCAGATTTTTTTCTTCCACGATATATTGCTGAACTTCGTGCAACGTTCGATGGCGGTCCATCACAGCGTATGTGACATATGGAAGACATACGTCTACAGCGGCTATCCTATTCAAGGACTGTAAAAGGATAGGTCAGAAAGAAACAGCATCCAAATATCTCGAACCTCCGTTTTCGATAACAGCACAATAATACATAACTACGTTAGAAATTAAGGGATATTGATGATATAGATATAATACCGAGTCAGTCAACGATGACGAAATATAGCAATTTAGAGTGTCCCTATCTCTCTGCAGTACTTTATACTAACCACGTGATTTTTATTTTTGACTAGCGACTTTTTAAATGCAGGACAAACTGAAAAAATATATAAGATTATCACAGCAGACGTACAGATATGTTTTGGAAGAGCCACATTCGCAATACCACATACCGTTCTACAAAAAAGTTTAGAAAAAATCGTGAGAGTACAGAACTTACCATTATCCGTTTACTTGAAATCGTGGGGTTCAAAGCCGAATGCTTTGCTGAGGGTTTGTTTTCTTTTTTGTTATAGAGCACATAGTCGCAGAACTTTAGAAGGGAATTCGATTTAACACCTTTAAGGCTAAAGACTGATTCCAGAGTACTAAATGGACCCTTCAAATCGCGTTCATGAACTACCCGCAAGGAAAGCGATGGCGCCAGTAGCTTTCTCAGCTCCGCTTCGGATGATTTGTTAAGCACGTCCAACACCTATTCGTCACAGTTTTATCATAGTTATTATTTTACTGTAGTAATAGTATTATTTCCATACAAAGGTATGCCTACAGATTGGTTCTATTTAATTGCTTTCGGCACGCTTTTTCAGCAGTTTCTGAGACTACCATAATAGGTACGAAGTAATCCGATCTTAGCATTAACCGACAGCAATGCACGTAATGTTTTACATTAATATTATAATAATATATACGGATAATTACGCTAATTGCCAATAAATTAATAAACAAGTGTATTGGTATATTTAAGTAACTTGAATGCTTAATTATTTGCTGGGTTACTTCCTATGCAATAATGTTTTGCATAATCTTCGACAAAAGGTCACTTGTCTATTTGTATTTTACCTCGTATTTATATAATCAATGTTTAGTTGTTTCTATGTAGGCGGTTCACGTTGTTAGAAAAGAAAAAAGAAAATAATAGTAATTATAAAACCATGCCTTGGAAAAAATATATAGATTTTCTTCAGGGCAAGTTTCTCCAAAAATCTGCAAGTGATATTACAAAGTAAAGACAACGATGAAAGGCAGACACATTACTGAGCTTTTATAAATGAATTTTCGATCTTTTGCCGATTATGAGCTCTGTTTGCATAGTCTTTTGATATTCTATAGCTGTTTCTTTGGAGAAGCGACTTCGGCGTAGTTAATTATTGATTCCCAGGCAGCTCAAGTCATTTGGCCGACTATCTCAATGTATAATACTAAACGTGCAATGGCAGATTTTCCAATCTGATCACAAGCGTATTACAGACACCCTTAGCAAAGTCACAAAATGAAAAATTGCTATGAAACATTACAGATGTCCGAAAAAACGACATTACAATTGCTTGGACATGCCAATCCAGTTTTCATTTAACCTTAATAATGGTACCAGCGACGCAATAAATGGTGTGAATAGATATAGTAGAAGAAAATACCTGACATTGTTGTTCTTTAGTGTAAGGCAGCAGATTCGTGCTGTGGATGCCGCGCGCCAGTGAATTCGTAAGAACCGAAAGAAGTCTCTGTGCGAGCATAGTGCTTTTCGTGGATGTCGCGAATATACGACAAGCACTCTTCAGTGTCACCTTAATAACCGCAAACTCTATAAGGTACTACTCATCAATGGGCTATGATTTATTGCACAACATAAATATTACAGTAGAGCTAGTACGCTCAACATTGGGATGAACCCTTTTGTTTACCGATGACCCTGCAGCAACAACATCGTTTTTATTGACAAACGGCTAGCAGACGACAAACGCGTTCTCGATCGAGCAACAATCAAATGATAACGACAATTGTGGAGTGGTGAAAATTATTTTTTCACCTATTTTTTTAGGTATTTTGTCCTGTTCTATAAATGGAACAATTGTAACGCAACTTAATGTCTACGCTCAGCTAGAAACATCTCGAATGCTTTATTTAAAAAAAAAATGTTTCTGTTCGTTAGCGTATTTTGAGACCGAAATAAAAGTGGCTCCGATCCCTCCATTTCGCAATTGATACGCTACCTTAATGGAAGAATTCACACAAATCTCGCTAGTAATTGTTAAACTATTATATTACACAAATATACATGTACAATCTGTTTCTTTTGTAAAACCAAGTCGGTGTTCATTCGCCGGTAAGATTCGTAAGATAAAATAGTTGAAAAGTAAATCGTTACATTTTTAAGGGAAAAGGCCAAAGTCAATTATAAGATGTACCGTTTCTTCGAAAGGCATTCTTGATTTGATTTTAATCCATGTTGTGCCATAACCAACTTAATGGACAAAAAATGGTTTTCCCAGCCAGACAATGTTTTGCCATGAATAAAAAGTAAAGCGAGTAAGAAATAACTTTCTTCTTTGGCACAATTGTAAATCAATATAAGGTGCTCCAGTTACTCGCAAGTATGCAAAAGTTTGGAGCGTATACGACGGTGCGGACCATAGTCACCTTGAATTGACTTTCGGGGTAAAAGACCCACACGTTTAGGTAGCGCTTGAGAGCAAATTATTGCCGCAACCATTATTCTTTTACGAACACGGCCTACTTCTTGTATGCTTACTTGTATGCCATTGCAGCAACTCGAAATCTCCTGTTTAAGATATAGCCAATGTGGAATAGGGTTTATTCAAAATGCCAGCAGCGATGTGAATACTGGATTACACGCTGAAACAGCCAAAACGCACTGGTTGACAATGCCTGCGCCTTTTATTACGGTAACTAGTTCTTATCGCGGCCACGGATGTTACTTGGTGCCGCAAACAACGTATTTCGCGGTGTACGTAGTATCCACCGTTTCCTTTATCGCAGGTACGCACATCAGACAAAGTTCTCCTTAGAAACCAGAAGTTGCTAGTTTAAAGCATATGACACAGCAAACATTACGTTGAGACGTAAGCAATGAATTATAAGTAAATGAAGCCATACTATTTTTGTGTCGCTTCGTCTTGGTTGCAACCATCTACGGTGCTTTATGTGTTTACATACCAACTTTGTGATCCAAATAAAACTATACAGCTTAAGTAGCTCCTTTCTCCTGTTGAAGACCTTGAATATAATTAGGATATTTTATATCCCATTCTAGCCCTATTCATCCTGTTAAGGGTTGTCCTATCATCAGTATTGAGCTGAATACATTGGCGCGCACGCTAGCTGCAGCGAAGCTTTTAAATAGAGAAAATATCCACAATTTTTCTTTTTGAGGTGAGAGCTGCCTCAGGGAGAGGGTAAGCTATGACACGGCTGCCTATACTAAGCGACAGGGGCCTATCGTCGCGAACAACGATAGCGGGGAACGGAAAAAGGGTTGACGGATTTGTCCCCCTTATTCGGGCTACCCGTGATGGCGCAATGAGTAATGTGTTTGCCTACTCAACTTTGGGACACGCCGTAGTCTTGGTTTAAACCCGGGCGTAGACTCACTTTGTTTCATACTAGGACTCAGCCCTCTAAGGCAATGTTTAGCAACTTATATATCGGATGGACAACAACATTGTGGATTGAACTACAGCATCGTTTAGAAATCGTACTTGTTTTGGTGCTCAAGATGGGCATCTATAGAATTGTGACCTGTGTTTGTCTTGAGGATTAACGTCTGTTTCGCTTGGCCTGTGCCAAAGGGAGGCAGCGGTCTGTCGGACGGAAAAGCGCCCAGCTACACATAGTATACCGACTTTTGTTTGCTGTTGGACTGGAGTGACGATCAAACTGACGTGCATGGGAAACTTCGAAATAGAGGTTTCTTTTTTAAAATAGATGTAAATATATCCCATACGTTCCCAATATGTTGGATTTAATGCGTTAGATAGCTATATAGGACACGGCGGCGCAGCGGTGGCACCAGACCACCGGAGCAGTATATATAATGTTTGCACTGCTACCGCTGAGACAAAGGCTATCATGTTGCAAACCAAGCTTAGAATAGAGCGGGCTTTCGGCAGTCTGGCTATATTATCAGCGCCATGCTATACTACGAGAATACCCAGCTGACTTTACCCCCTGTTTTCGGTTTTGTCTAAAAAAATAGGTGACAACACAGGACGTTTATCTTCGACCATGACGGAACACGACACGACTAGCATAAAGGTATAAAACGTTTGTTAAAAACCTCTGTTAGGAATAGGCTATATATAGGGGAAAGTGGGTTGAGATTAAACACTTCTATTTTGAAGGCCCAAAGAATATGGTGTACAAAATATATGGATTTAATTTGGTATGCGTGTTATAGCCCTTTTATTTGACTGAGTACATATATATAAGCAATTATGTCCGAAATGAAAAAAAAACTTAGCTTCGTTTGATATTCAAGCGAGTTGAGACACCACATGGGGTGGGTTAGTACGAATTATCATCCAGTATATATCTCGATCATAAATTGATGTTAAGAGATTAATTTGTCTCCACATGTCCCTCTAGTGTCTACTGATTGATAGCACACTTCAGTCGGTGAAATTTATTGGGTACCATGAAAAGAATACGTTTCATTATTTTCTTAACAGATTGGCTATGGCGATGCTTTCAGGCCTCTTGTTTTATAAAGAAATTAGAAAACTTCGTGTAAAAGTAAAAACAAGATAAACTGAGATGAGGCGCTGCGACATCCCGGTGGCAGATTTGAATTGTCAGGTTGACGCGTGCTATGGATTTTAATGGCGAAATTATTGGATTTGGTCTAGTCTCTGAAAAAAGATAGCTACGTGTTGTATTTTTAAGTGCTCGATTCACTTATGATGTGGACAATCACACAAAATAATATTACTACTAGCAATACTATAAAACTTCAGCACGAGTGTGACGATGATTGCTACGCATGAAGACACGAGACAGATTAGAACGCCTGCCCCAAATGTTTAGTCACAAACGTCTCAACTCAACCCACTTAACGTAGCTCGATTTACCCAACGTCAACTTCTAACTAGTTAAAAAAAAATATATGAACTAGGTGAGTCGAAATCTGCACAATGCTACAAACGAGAAGAACGCGTGGTTCGACTAAAATGGATTATACGAACAAATCACGATGTATTATCGGATGACATGATTAAAAAAGATAATTTACGGCGAAAAAAGTACACATTTGCTTAAAATTGGTCAGCCGGTGATTTCGATTTGGTTTTACTTTGCGACGCCCCAATATGCTACGCTTGCTTCTTATGCCGCTTCCGTGATCGTTCCTCTGCAGTCTTGCAGCTCCTGTTGTCTATCAAGCTCTCATGTGCTTATGCGATGTAATTGCCTAATCGGTTAATCACAGACTTAATCAGTATACTAGAGACTATGTCTAGTTCTCGGCCAAGATGCTACAGCTTAACCAGTACAGAAATTGGAAGAGCGAATTGCGGTTTTCCAACCTGATTGTGGTTTATCTCAGTTTTCTGTTTCCTACCAGTGAGAACAGCCTCAATAGTTTGCATCTGACACAATCGGAAAGATACCCAGTAAGCGCTGCGGTTTTAGTAAAAGTCCTGCTTCGATACTGGTTGGCCTTAATTAATCACATTTTTATAATTAGCAAGCAAATTTAAGTTACATTTTCTGGCATACGGGTTTTTTTTGTGATGCACGTCGGAGTGAAAAAATGAGCCGAGTAATGGTTTGACACACACATTTCCCAAGGTATCAATATCGAAGCACAGACATTTATGAATCATTGTCTAGCTCGAACCCGCCTTTATGCCATTTGTCACCAGCTGCTCCCATTTCGTTGGTGCTGATCTCATACGGTTTCAACTAGCTTCAGATTAATTTTTCTTTATGAACTAGAGATGTTCTTGATGGGAAGGAAACGTTGTACAGCATTAGCTCTCTTTTCTTTATCATTTTAGATTACCCTATTAAGGATAGGTAATGGATAGATTGTCTCAAAATTACATCTGTTTCATTCCTTGATAGGAAATATTGGCGTACTGTCAAGTTTGTGAAGAAGACTGTTGGTTCGAGAGTAGGCGGGCCGAATAGCTGCTAAAGTATCCATGACAGATGGCGAGGAGGCGATCCCCACCGTATTACACTTGGAACACGTCTCGGTTGCAAGCGGCCTCGTCTAGATATTTTATCAGCACTGATAACAATTGACATTTGAGACTGATGATACAGTATGATTCTGGCGATTGTTTAGTTTCAGACCGTGACAAAAATGACTTAGTCGTTTCGAAGCGTGAATTTATACAAGGAAACTGCGTAAATTGCTTCCTCCATTCATTAAATCTGTCGCGGCCGCTGTGCATATGTCGGTGCATAAATAGTGTGTATAAAGAAAAGTTGCTCCTATTTAATAAAAGGTAATATTAAAGGGCGAATATTTATCTAGCAAGTGCAGCAGCGTAGGAAAGATACTTCATGCAATCTGCGGTGAATGCGAGGTGCTCCTGTAATTGATCGAAGAGGAAAATGGCTTTTCGCTTTTTATAATAAGCTTGAAGTGAAACCTTTTCTAGCCAATATGCTCGTTTATGAAGCCTCTCCTCTAATTTGTTTGTTTTACTACAATTTTGGAAAAATCTATAATCACTTCTCGCAACACGTAATTTAAGTAAGCGATTGTGAATGCTTGTGTTGCTGGAACTGTGCAAATTCTTAGTTACTGGAGGCATCCATTATTTTAGCCACAAGCATCCTCGAACTAATTCACTACTTAATTCAGTAATATATCAAATAAAATATTTCAGGATTAAGCGAACAAAATGGCAAATAACCTTGATGAAAATTTACGACCCACATTGAATCAACAGGACGTTGAGTTCGTTCTTGAGGACCAGTTTGGTATATCAAGAGATCGTGTCGATTCTGTAAAACTGCTCGCCGGTTACGATGACCAGAACTTCTATGTTAAGGTGATTGAATTTAAACCTTATTCACCCGATAGCTTTTTGATCAAATATACATTCAGTGCATTTAATTTAGAACCCGTGCCTCAGATTACACACAATTGCACACCTGAGCTGATTGGGATAAAATGCAGTGCGTTATAGATCGTTTAAAAGTATAGTTAAACCTTTATCGTTGAAATGGGTCTTTGTTGTTTGTAGATCTTGTTGATTACTACGAATGATCAGACAAATAACCAATTGTCTTGACGTTACAGCTAAAACCGGACGGTAGAGAGGTGCTGCTGAAGATTACAAACTGGCGAGACAGTGAAAACGTTCAGCTTATTGGTAACGTAGTTCCCTTTTCAACGCTATTGGCTATTCCCATTGTATGAGTACGTTCTCGGGGTCACTTCTTCGGCATTGCCCCCTAGGAATCTAGTCATGTTGAATCTTGCTAGACTGTTCTGTAGCGTGTGCACGTAGTAGCGAAGTTCGTTACGTATGTGCAGACTAGCGCTTTGGGTTCGAATCAAAAGGTCGATATACTTCACCTTGTGATGGGGGTCAGCCGTATGATAGAGCGTCTAACGCGTTTCTATTGTGAGTCTTTGAACTGTTTATACCTTGCGCCTGCGAAATTATGTAAACTACGTACATATTACGAATAATGCACACTTTTTGTGTGTACACTTTTTTAATGTGCACTTCTGTTTTGTGTAGGTGAGATGACCGAGTTAATGTGCCAACTAGGGAAATCTGTACCATGCTCAGTCCCGCTGCAAACGAAAACTGGTTCTCCTCTTGGCCGCTACGTTTACCAGGATAGCGAGAACCACAGGAGAGAATGTATCGTTCGCCTATTCAACTTTCTTCCCGGTAAGTGAACAAAAAGATGACCTTCTTGGAAAACTAGGCTTCCATTCACCATGGCTTTATATATTTAAAAAACAACGAAATAGCACAGCCTGAAGGAACTTGTTTGCTTAAATCCTGCAACTGGCTTTTAGCCTCTATTGTATGTTTATAAACTCACTCTGAATTATTATTACGATGGGCATCCAAGAGAGCCCAACAGTATACTTGGCTGCACTTAAGTCCCATACCGAAACTTGCAGGCAGGAGTTAGCCCCGATTTGAAGCAGTATTCTTTCTACACTATCGACCCTCTGGGTCTTGCTAAACTTACCCGGGTTTTTCTTTAGCAGTGCTATGAAATGGCATGACAACAAGATTCCATAATAACTACTTGTCTAACATTTACACCAAAAATGGCCGCATATTCATGGTTTTCATGGCAACGCAGGCAAAGAGCTGCCTGTATCACCTCCTCGGTAGAGCAAAGTTAACTGTATGAATATTCTGGTTTGTCAAATAGGCACCTCATCTATTAGCTGACGTTTGGAATTTGAGGTGACCAGGACTTTTTTGCATCCACTCAGAACTACAGAGTTTTTACAAAGATCCTCCGATTTGAATAAGTTCGGAAAATTCAAGGTTTGAAATATTAGTAACTGGAAAAAAGAATTTGTCAAACCTTTTTGATATAACAAAATGATTGATTTATTCGTGGCTGAGACAGGTACATACATTTTAGGTTTGTGAGATGTTTAGCACATGACGCGCATTTGTTAATTAAGTTGTTTCTAGCTAATAAGTATCCGCTCACCAAATATAACTCTTTGTTTTTTCTTTTCCTAATTGTAGGCAAAATTATGACACCGGGTACTATAACCCGTTCTCAAGCGTTCCAATGGGGAGATCTCCTGGGACGGATGCACTTAGCACTCGACAGTATGGAGTTTCCGACGATTTCTGAGCGGACCTTTATTTGGGCTTGGGAAGGGGTGCCTCAGGTGGGTCAAATCATATCTGATACAAATCACACGCCTGAAACTAACAGACAAATCACAAACATCTCTTTAGGTTCCCATACAATCACACACGAGCAAGTTTTGTAGAGCAGAACTGGTTAGAGATATTTTTTTCTGAAAACGTCCAATTCAGAGAGCATTTTTCCTTTCGATACTTAGAACCTGCACTATTGAAAGTATTAATTTATATAGAAAGTAGTAATTAAAAGCAACATATTGTTTACCTATAAAACGCCAAAATCATTCATGGCATAGCTGACTTCAACAATAGCATATTCACTTTAGCGATATATAATACAGTAAAATACGCTAAAATAAATAAAATGTAAAATACTTATTCGCAGTTTGATGGCACCACCTGACACAGTTAAAATAAGTTATTAGCAAGCGATGCCCTAACCTAAATAGATATATTATCCTAGCTCAGACCCAGTTGTACTTTAAATGCAGTGGAACTTCAAATACGCAAAAAAGTGCTACTTCAGTCATCTTGCATACGTTTTATAGTCGAATGCTGCGATAAAGCACACAACTTGTGTTTCATTAATCTCAGGTGAAGCGCTACCTGGACGTTGTATCTGACCAAGATAGAAAAGATTTAGCGCAGCATTTCTTCGATAAGTACGAGTATGAGATGTTGCCCCGAATGAGGCAATTAAAACGAGGTAAGGCAAGAGCGACAGCGTCAAATATGGACTTGACATATTTTTTAGGGCGTAGAATGACAGCACGCTAGAGTCAGTGTTTTTTGTTTATTTTTTGCGCTTTGCGAAGATCTGATACACGGGGACCTAAACGAACGTAATGTGTTGACGAATGCCGCCGGAGAAGTTTACGCTGTTCTCGACTTCGGCGACTGTCACGGCGGCCCAAGGGCGTGGGACCTCGCTCTGGTGCTCGCTTACCTTAGTCTCATGTTGCCCGACATCCAACGTGATCTCGTCAATTATCTCGGGGATGCGATCTCCGGATACGCAAAACATATGCCAAACGTTGTAAGAGATACTTGCGATGTGGAAACGCTTAAGGTAAGATGGAGATCATCCAGCTTGAAATAGAGTGCAGTCAGAAGTCAGCCAATAATTGCCAACTAGAGTGCTATGTGTCCATTAATGTTTTTTGCGTTTGGTTTGTTTTGCAGACTCTGATCTGTACTAGGCTGTGCCAATCGCTGGTGCTTGGGTTACAGTCATTCAAAGTCAAGTGTGACCCGTATGTGTTAACCACGCAAAAAAAAGGATGGTTCGTGCTGCGCCAGCTCCACTCGGAGACTCGACAAAATATTACGGACGTATGGAATAAGCTGCTTAAGCCCTACGGAATGATGCTTAAGGAAACAGCACACTGATACGGCGCGTCTTGATACGTCCATTGAAAATTAAAATGCATTCAGGCAAAATAACAGGAAAGCATGGTAAAAATGCGATGTGTACAGCAATTAATTCCATATCGTATGAAACCATTTCTAATTTTAACGCAAATAAATATAACAAAAATCTAAGTAAGTGTTTGTATCAAAGTCAAATAAAGTTATGACTTTCAAAACATAGGAATAACATTTTAGTTTTTTGTTGTGCTGAAATATCTATTGGAGCAGCAAAGCTAACATCGATCCATAAATGTGAATATGAATACGTTTGATTGACTTAGGTCCACACTGTATTAAGTTGTTGTCATATTTATGTCGAACGGGAAAGGTAAGAAGACGAAAAGAACAACTCTCTACCGTTTTCTACTTTACACTTTTAACTATATATATATATATATATATATATATATACCGGATGGCGCTTTACTATCTAATTATTGCCTAGTTAGCGGCAGATTTTGTTTTCGGCCCCATCATATAATACTTTGTATCAGAAATGAGAGCTGCCGTTCATGTCACAATTAACTTGCCTTCCAGATTGCCAAAACTTCCATAACGGATATCACAATTTTGCTTTGTGCACTCGAGAAAAGGACATAAACTTAAGAAATACAGGAAATTGTTAGTCTCTTTTTCAAAAGCTATTGACGTTCTACGCCGTGAACCATACCACAGAATTCCTACTGATACAGTTTAAATGTCATGAAAGTTTTTCGTGCAAAAGCCCTTTGAGTTTCTTACTTCACTTGAAACGGTAGCAAATATGACTGTAAGCGTCGGCGAACAAAAAGACACCGACTCTAAGCATAAAACAACGTATCAGCGTATAGATAGAACCGTTGCAACAGCTTTGTAATCATCATCCGTAAACGGCACTGACATAGTGAGATTAAAGGATTAGAAAACAGTTATCTATCTAAGATGAAAATTTATACAGTAATATCAATATAGCTAGTAGTTGACGTAACTAGATATAAAGGCGTGCTTGCTAATATAAACAGTATAATCCTATGTTGATTCGAACGCGTCCAATACAAACGAGATTCAGCTATAAAGCGTAGACTCCGTAGTACACGGAAAAAAGTACCGGTGTTATATGGCCAAGATAATAGTCGGTTACTGCATCGATCGCTTTGCAAAGTATCACCTGAATACTGCTAGTCAAAGCTGTCATTATAGCTTCATATATGTGAGCATGATAACTTCCTATGTAATTACTCATCGATTTTACATCGTCGAACAGGAATGATCGTCATTGTTATTAAGCATCTTGGATACAAGATATAAAACCTTCGTATTTGCACTCGTTTGAGAGAAACTGGTTATACATTACATTGTATCGGTATATATATATATAGGTACGGGTGTATGAAGTATGATGATTTTCTATTTTCGCTTAGTATTAAAGTTCTTAAAGGTATCCAAAAATCTGAAAAAATGTTTACATATCATTAAATCATTGAAACGTGCCCTCCACATTCTGATTTCATTCTATCGGTGTACTAGTTACATTTACAATTTTAATAAAGTATAAGGTTGTTTTGGCGAACCAGTTCTTTTTTCAGTTTTTTTTCAAAGCCAAAAAGGATAGAGATTTGCTACATGTATGGAACGATATGAATGTTCTGTGCAATATATGATAATAAATTCTGCTTTTGCAAATTAATTATTTCTAAATTTGAAAATGTACATAATCGTCAAATCTCAATACAGCTTTATTGTTACCATTCACATGTCTTCGTACATTGGAATATTTCATCGCATGGAGAGTTATGGCACTCTATATGGGATTAATGAATGTTCTACGATCGTGAACAAAATGTTTTAGGGGCCGCATGATCTGGGTGACCAATACGCCTCTCTGCGGGTGGGTTGCCATAGTAACAATAACTAATAAACATGCTAGCGCACCGGTTCAAATCTTAGCGTGGGCAAAAATTATCATATATAATATCTGAAATTGAAAAATAGGGTATTGTTATTTAGGTGAATAAATATATGGGAAAGACCGCAGGTGAGACAAACTCCCCGTTAAAAGCCATAGGGGCGAGTCCTTAATACTATATCGAAGAATAGGTAATTTCTGCTTATTCACGTAAGGGTAATAACTAAGTACTGAATAAATAAGAATTTTTTAAAATATATCAGTTTGCATCAATTTATTTCGTCCTCTTTTTCTTCGAAATAAACATTGCCATCTAAAGATGTATTAATGAAACAAAAAACTGAAACAAACTATACGGAACTTGCTATTCAGATTCTCAATATTCATTTACGATGAATTCTCTATACAACTACACAAATCCCTGGGCATCCTGTGCTTTAACACGACCGTCAACAATAATGACGTTTCTCTAATATGTACTTCTATGTATTATTCGTCAGAAGATAGCTTTTCGTCCATTCGAAAAAAGCAAAAATTTATAGGTATTAGCTATGACCGTATCTCCTGAGCTTCTTGTATACAGTATCGTATATGTTGTGACGCACGTTCATTGGGGAACTTTCAGGTTAGCCACTGAGCGGCAATGAGGCATATTCTGGAATGTCTAATAGTTTCGTTTAAATTGTGAGGGTTTTGGATTTGTCTCTCAGACACAATCGTTGGCATCTGGAAGATCACCAACATGTACGTTATAAGAATCATCAAGATAGAGTATACAAGTGATCGGCGGAAGTTCATCGCACTATAGAACGTGAACTCGACCGGTTGCAGAGACAAATCTGTGCTTAACTGAAGATAGCTGGCGACGGTTGTGAGAGGAGCTCTATCGGTGAGTCGAACTCCTCGAGTCTGTACACAAAAGAGTTCCCGTGAATACCAAAAATAGCTACTCTTCGATTGTTTGCTCATGTGAGCGATATTATCGGCCATCAGTCGGCGCCGCATGTTGCGCATTGTGTTATAGACGAGATCTCCACACCAAGTTATGCTCATTACGAAGTAGAGGGTAGAACTAAGGCTCAATATCATAGTGATCAACTCAATACGACTGACATCCTCCATGCTAAGCCACGTTATGAATGTTCCTAATTCTAGGCAGGCGCCAGCTGAAATAGACACAATCCATATAGCGGCTGACGTAGACCAGCGCTCATTAACTTTTTTGAAACATTCGTGCGTTCTCGAATATCCCAAGCGAAAGTTTGTTGAAGGGTGGGCATTGTCTCTACGTATCAAAGCTAACAGGCATCTCTGCTCGGCGAAATATTCGCACGCCACTAGCGGGAAAAGTAAATGACACACTATCTGTCGAAATACTTCCGATATGTAGGTATATTTTGGGGGTAAGAAGCTGTTATACGGCTCGAAGTCAACTTCTAGATAGCAGCCTAGGTAGAACAGGTTTGCTATGCTGTACGCGAAGAATCCCACCACTGAAATGTACATATACGGTTGCCTGAGAATGACACGAGTCGATAAACGCAACGAACAGAAATAGGCAATTACGCGGCAAAAATAATTTGCGTTAAAATAATATATTGACGCATAAGTTGTACCATACATTAGACAGGTTGTGTATATAGCTGAATTTAATGATAACAAAATCTGAACTAGGCTAATGATCCGCTGCAACAAACTATGACGATCTTCCATAACGATGCATCGTCATTCAATCAGCATCGTTGCAGTACCACATAGAGCGAATCCAAACGAAACGATGCGAAGCTATCGTAGAAAATGCGCATGTCTCGCATGCTCGTTTTTGGCTGGCTTTGTTCGACCGTTGTGTTGAACAATGGAAGAGCCAGCCTTGTGACGCGGCACGTAATGATAATTTTTCACTTTGTAATTCAAGCGTGAGGTAATGAGGTAAGTGGATCTGTCCGAGTGGTCAATTTCCTGCATAGCTACTTCAGAAGCATATCATACGCATACAGCATTATAAGTTACACCAGTAAAATGACTTCATGCGTACATGGTATTCTGTTGTGACAATAATTAGATGCTGCAGATGATTTAGCCACAGGTTTCAAGCTTTTATTACCAGCATCTATCTTCGCGAAAGACGCCAAAAGTGTTCCAATGTCGGCCTCAACGGGTAAGTACCGCATTTCCAGTTTGATGCAGAAGCATCGTTTGGTGCCAACGTCAAAGACTTTCGTCTTATCGAGATCCTTTAAGTCTTGTCGATATTCTGTTGTCAGAAATCAAAGGGTTTATTTCCGCAATCGATATGTATACACGGATTCAGTCTCTGCTCTTCTCAGATTTGTACCTAACAGCGCGTACATCGTTCTCTAAGTAAGCATTGTTCTGAAGAACGCCCCGGGTTCCAGATATCTTGTCGTGCTTGTTCGACATCACTCACTATTGTATACCGACAATGCATGTGCTGCTAACAAATCGCCTACCGTCATCCAAGGCTTTGCTGAGAACTAGTAGGAGAGGGCGGGATTTGTCCTTGTTGAAGCTGACCGTGTTCAGGACTACATAGGTACGAGATGTCGCACAGGTGGAGAGGCCACAACTAGTACCGTTAGGTTGTTAGCTTTCAACGAGGTTCCTATTGTTGCTTCTTAGTGATTATTTGGATCCAGTGTATATATGGACGTCGGTTAATGCTAACACACATACATATTTAGGAAAATTCGCTGAAAAATTTTGTTTTGCTAAGTCTGAGTTAATTTAAAAGCAAAAAAATTAAAGGAAGGCCAAGGAACACTCGTAATTTAAGTACTTTCGGACACAGTACAAAATCAAGTTCGATTCATACGTCGATATTTTTCACAGGCGACTACTTTAATTTTCCTAATTGTGTCACGCTTTTTTCTTGCATAGAATAATGATGTAAGTTGCTATGTCTAATTGTCTACCTCCTAATGGCGATGAATACACATGATAAACATAAGCAGTAAAATACTGCACAATGGAAAAAACGGCCATCATGTAATAAATGGTATTCTTTCTGAAATTTGCCTTTACACTGCTTAGTACAAGCGTCTGATAGTTTTATAAAATCGCCTACTACTCTCTTGAGTGGCATAATACGCTACGTTAATATATCTCATATTTATTAGCAGACCAATCATAGGGACGGAGTGGCAGAGACCAGCCTTATAACTAAAACTGTCCTATAAAGGGTTACAGCTTCCAACTTCGATATCAAAACGATCCGCCGATTATAACAGCTCATCATATGTCGGGTGTAGACAGTAGCAAACCACCGGATGAGTACCTGTGTTCAAGTCATCGATCAATAATATTCTATTCAATACAACATTGGCACGTAACAGCGACAACGTTCGTAGCTGGTAATACGCCAATCTCTAACAATAAATGTGAATGTGTTTGGTATATTAGAAAAAGGCCACCTAATGATTACGATAGGATATTTTCATGTCCAATAACATTCACACTTGAGCAAATGGCATATATAATTACGTTGATATGTCGTTCTCCTCGCAAGCCGTAATCAATTGCTGTAGTTTTTCTTACATAAAACTATTGAATCACAATTTTTCAGTAGCTCTGGCCATAATTCAAGCGACCTATAGAATCTTAGTACTGCAAGGATTTTCAAAGTAGAAAAACGTACGTTAATCACATGGCTCATATCCCCCAATTAAGTTTACGATCAGTGCTAGATTTTTAAAGACAGTAGGTTTTTTTTTAGAGCTGTTCTATTTTTTTAGCCTATTATAATATAGATTAGTACATGGCAAAAACGTTTCAATACACTTTTCCGGGCCTTAAATGATCCATATTGCTTCTCGTTCGTAATAGGAATTTAGTGTTAAACAAGTCTCAAAGCGTTTAGGAAATGACTTTGTGTAATTACACAATTTGTCAACCATTTGTCAATACAGCTGTCTCTGATTTCTACTTGAGAAATGTTTTAATGCAGATGCTTCCGAAAATTACAGACATTTTTTGGTTTAACATGGCAAGTATTTCCCAGTGGCCGGTGCTTGAGGTTCCCGCCAATAAAATTGAATAGTTGTTTGTTTGTTTTCATACGAACACCTTCTCGCTCTTTTATAGGCAAGGGATCGCAGTTTGAACCATATTCTGCAAGAAGAGCAGTTCGAGCGGGCTCGATCACTTAATCAGCGGCGTTGCCTAAAAACAGACTTGGCAGCTAATTTGACATGTGACAATAACGGTGTAGAAATTTCTTGCTGAACGTTGACAAGCTCGAAAACGGGGTGAAGTGATCGGAACGAAACTGTGTGCCGCCAACTGTAGCAAACAAAGGTTAGTTTAGTACGCTCTGCCTTGCTAGGGACTCGAGCACAGTCAGGACTTGCCGACGCTCGTTAAGGCAATATAATTGAAAATAAAATACTTATATAACAAATAGACATTTATCCTTCACGAGGTTCCACTCTTTCTCCTTCGTAAACTATTGGCGTGCAAGATTGATACATCATAGAATTTACAGTTTAATGCAAAAGTTTAAATCTGGTATAAGACCGCCGTGGTTTGTTATTAATTTCAGCTTTACTACGTACATATTCAACCATATAAATACAGTACCAGCAATATTAATAGTGTACCGTAAAAAATCTACAAAAGATGCATGAGTGGTTGTTTTAATAAGCTCTGTTGGTAGAGCTTATTAGCTTATCAGAGAAAATAAGCATTGCCAAGCATTTACTCACATGGCGTGTTCTACGAAATTTATCAGTATTGAAGCAAATTCTTGGTTAGAAAATGTTTAATCCCACACAACTGAGATAGCTATTTACATACATACATGCATACACAAGGTACAATGAGATTTGTACCTTTATAAGCTTCCTTGTTATTCTTACCAAGATATTCGGATCGTATGTTTTTTTCTTTCACGACACGGTCGATTTGTGACACCGTTGCGTCTTGTCATTCATGCAGATGTCTGGAGGCAATAGCGGTGGCGTAGCGATAACTGGTACAGGGGGTGGAGGTACCTCCACTTCTGATAGTATCTCTGTGGCCGTTCGAGTAAGACCTGCTAAAAGCGTATCTGATCCAGTCGAATGGATCGTTCAAGACAACGTGATCTACGGAGCGCAGCCCGAAAATCAACACAACGTATTCGCGTTCGGTAAAATAAAAGATTCGAACTAAACCACAAGAAGCATTTTTCTATCAGTCTGTAATATTCTTTGCCATCAATCGAAGATCGATCTTCTGATAATTAAATTATGGTGGTTTCCACAGTAGATAGAACTTGCCTATGACTCAGCTTCTAATATATTTGCAGAAAAAAAAAACTTGCTGATTTTTGGTATTGCGGGTCAAATCACTTAGAAGCCATGTTTATTTAACTGTTGCAGATGAACTGCAGGAAGTGACTTGGTTCAAAGAGATACAGTAGAGCTTGATAGGGAGCTACAGTGACCGATTTGACATAAGTTGTAAAAAAAGAATGCATTTAACACAAACGTGTTTATCTCGTTTTGATGATTATGTAGACCATATCTTTTCACAGGAGACGACCAACACTAATGTCTATGAAAAAGTTGTTGGCCCGATTATAGAGTCGGTCTTGGATGGATACCATGGCACCGTGTTTGCTTATGGACAGACTTCGTCAGGAAAAACGCATACGATGATGGGCAACGATGCCGACCCCGGAATCATCAAAAGGGCAATTGCCTACATCTTTGAACGTATACATAAAGTAAGCTGCTCAATTCGTTTCGGATTCTGGTAGACCCATTTATAAAGTGCTGTTATCCTGTAGTTGGAAGTTTTTGACAGTACCTTCTGGGGTGACGACGTTTCTAGATATTCTCTTGGTAGGAATAATGCGTTCTATCGATCACTTTGAATGCCGTCATTGTATATTAGTAGTATCTCCTAGTGTCCTATAAACTATAAGTAGTAATGACGAGAGACAAAGCAAGCTAAACTAAGGGCACACAGTGTAAGTGTGCTGCCTTAAGTCTACGGAGTTTTTGAATGATGAAAGCAATTGTAGTTACATTTATCACTCATATAGTTTTTTGAATTCATATTACTAACAGGATGCCGATCGCGAGTTTATGATTCGGATTTCATATCTAGAAATTTACAATGAGCAGATACGTGACCTGCTTAATCCAGCTACGCAGTCGTCGGCGCTCCAGATCAAGGGCCCGGACATGGCCGTCTCTGGACTCGTGGAACAGGTCTGTCGTGATGCCGATGAACTGATGAAATGGATGCTAGCTGGAGACAAGAACCGTCAGGTCGGATGCACTAACATGAACGAGCGTTCGTCCCGATCACATTCGATATTTCGTGTAACCCTCGAATCGTCTCATCGGGACGCCGTCGGGAATAAACGTGAAGGCGTCACTATCTCCCAATTAAATTTGGTAGATTTGGCTGGTTCGGAGCGTGCAACGCAAACCGGCGCTACCGGAACGAGATTACGTGAAGGTTGTCACATTAACACATCGCTTACCGCACTCGGCATTGTCATTCGAAAATTGTCCAAACAAGAGAAACACATAAATTTTCGGTTAGTTGTTAAACGAATCACGGTTACCTAACGAGATGCATTTGAATGAAGTCTTCATCTTTACTATTATCTACTTATATTTTCCGAACCTTGGATTATAATTAATACAAGTCGGTTTGCTGTGCATCCAAAACAAGTGTGTATATCTAAAAGGTCTATTGGCTTTTTTAGGGATTCAAAATTAACCAGAATTCTGCAGAATTCCTTGGGCGGCAACTCCCGTACGGCTATCGTGTGCACGATATCGCCATTCGATTACGAGACAAGTCTGTCAACGCTCCGTTTTGGATCTGATGCTAAACGAATTCGCAATAAGCCTGTTATCAATCAAGTGCTATCGGAAGACGCCAGCCTTTTGCAAAAACGGAACAAAGAGATTGAGTCACTTAAGGCACTCATTTGTGTTAGTATCGAATGGTCACAATTGAATGCACTTTTGACACTTTCGATCGACCTGATCTATATCATTTCATAGAATAGGTATTTTCAACGCCCCTCAAAAAGATAAATGAAATCATCTAGTTTGAACCAAGTGTGTCGCAAAAATAGATAGAACATATCCCTGCAGGCTCCTTTTCCTTTATACGGTTAGATTTTCTGAAGGTCTTATATTTTTGTTTATTCCCGTTAGTGATACCTATTTATTAGAGTTCGTAGGTGCATTATGGCAATTGCCGACCTTTCTGTGCTTTGTGCAATTTGCAGAAGGTGAAGACCGGGAAGGAGCAAGAACTGAAAGAGAAAGACGACACGATTTCACAGCTGCAGAAGAAAATTGAGGATCTTCAGAGGCTAGCCATCTGCGGAGACCTACCATCAAGTATCACTGAAAGGACCTATAGCATGGTAGTAAATAAAATAGCCGTCGCTTCCTTAGAATTATGTTAACAAACGAACTTTGCCTACAGCTGCAAGCAATGTCTAATGAACAGCATAATCTTCTTGAACACAGTGTTCATTCTCATTAAAGGATAACACTTTTATTAGCTTTATTTTAACAGGAAACTTAAACGCTCACAATGGGCAGATTTGTTTCTATATATTTTTATTCTTGATTGTTTTCGGTACTCTGCTGTTATGCTGGTTTATAGAAAGATTTTTAAATCTAGAATTAATATCTACTGGTTTCCGGCGCTAATAGCAAGTATTTTCTCTGAGAAATAGCGTGGATAATATATTTTGTCTTAAGCTATCTTGTGTAGACTAATAATCACTGTTGTTCGGCAAAAAGCAGCTCTACTTTTATATATTTGGCCAGTACGAAGCAGGAGAGAAATTGTAACACAGAACTTCGCCTTCGAAAATATTTTGATATTTCGGTAACATCTGACAGTTCTCAATATTGGTCTACTCTTAAAACACACTAAGCTTAAATGCCAGAAAAAAAGTTAGTGGTAGCTTGAATATATAGTTAATATAAAGGGCCATAAATTTAAGGTAAAAAAAATATTCATTTGAATTTTCTACAGCAGTGCCAGTTTAGCTAGCTGCGTATTTTGCGTTAGACTTCTTTTTTTTCTTATGCCATCTTAAGGTATCTGCCACAAAACATTCTTTACTGTACGTAGGTCACTTAGTTATATGGTGTTGTAATAGTTTTGGGAAGGAAAGTTTTGCAGTCCTTTATCAGTACCGTAGCCAGTGGCGCGATGGAAATCACATAGTAATCTCTATAGCTAAATGCGTACTGTTGTACCATTTTGTCAGCAGCTATTCAAAGTATATGCAACATTTTATAAATTCTCTAAATGGTGTTACATTCCCGAAACTGATACGACTCAATATTTAGCATCTATTACCAGCCCTTTTTTATACATATTTATACTTACAAGTTTTTAGGCTTGCTCCTTTTGTTGGTGTTTTTGGCTGCTTTGTTACCAAAGTGTTAACTTCAATACAACATTCTTTAATAGCCGAAATGTGCGCTGTTTTTGTACTGGCATTTTATAATACGACGTATTGACGCATATAGATTCACTTAGCAAACAGTTCAGCAAAGATTTATTTTGACGGTTACTACCAGATGTAGGGTCGACACAAAGACCGTAAGGGTTAACGCTATATTTGATCTTGACGACGCTGCGGATGTTAATGTTTAACGAATTCGAAATATTAAATATAACCGAATTGAAACCAGTTCTTAGTTAGTTGTCATAGGTGATCATTTGCATAGTTAGAAATCAGTAAGTACAATTAAAGTCGTTCGTATCATGCGAATACACGATGCTTTTAGTCGGTTCGTCGCATGCAAAGACAAGATTGGTGAACATATAATCCCGTGTTTATTATGATGTGAATATTACGATTAACCATAATGAAAACTGTGTTGCGCATTTTTAACGGCAGCCATTGCGGGTAGACTGCCGTCGGCGAGAAACATGGTGTCCTGGGCAAATTGCCGCAGCGACGCCAGGTAAAAGTCTCTTAACTAGCACTGGGGCTTCAACGATGTTCGAGCAACGACATACATCGGGAGGATCGAACGAAGACTCGTTTTTAGCACAGTACGGCACGTATGACGATGGTCTCAAAAATGATTTCGGAGCGTTCTGTACTCCAGCGCGACCCCGCAAACGGAAGTCATTGGAAATAGATTGTCCAGCATCTTCATCATCTACGGAAACGTTAAAGAGCTTAACTAGTCAATGTGACGTTTCACGGAAAAATGAAGAATATGAAGATCTAGCTGCACTGAAGGGCAAGTACGAGGTCAGTATTTATGTGTGCAGCTTTAATGAAACCGAAATAATTCTACTCATAAGATAGCTGACTCGATGGGTTCAGTGTAATTTCAGTTAGGAGAGCAAAGAAATCAATTATGATCTCCGTCGGTCATGATTGACTCTTTTTTGTCCGAGCGCCTTATTATTCCATATGCTGTGTAGGAACATTGGAATATTTGGAACATTGATGATATAGTCCATAGTGATCGCGAAAAAGCGGGCCATATTTAGTACAATAAGCATGAACTTTCTTAGGACATCATTATATATCAATATTTCATTAGAAAAAAATGGCTTAAATCAACTATTTTCTCCTCCCTATGTGAATTTCTTTTATTTTACCCATATAATTCTATATGATAAGTGTGTTACATGAATTGATTGATATTTATTAACGGTCTTTTCTTAGGACGCCATGAGCGAGTTGCGAGAGCTGAGGGAACATATCGCGTTCCTTCAAGCTGAGCAAAAGCTCTGCTGTCAAGCTACACCTGGGCTAGCAGCAAAAAGACCGCGGATTAAGACAGTCGATCCTTTGGCTCCTCATGAATCATCTGATCCTAGTGGTACAGAAAGTGGTGGTTTTAATCAGGAATCTTCATCGTGTACGAATACAGATCAGGAAGCTGTTACGCGTACGCCGGTAAATGGACTGAGCCTTATTCTAGAGGAGGAAAGCGAGCTAGAGGGAGAAAGTCCGTTTGAACGCAAACTCAAATTGTTCGTACCTACAGTCAGATTTTGCTATTTTGCTTTGATAATTTGCACAGGACATAATGATCCATGTAGTAAAGTTCAAAACACAACACCTTTCGCTTATCCATGTTGATAGTCCTGTCTGTTTTTTAATTTGCACATACTTCCAAGGTATTTTTAGTGCAAATACCGATTAGGCGCAATGAATAACAAACTTGAATCGTTTTTCTATTTAATCATTTTTTTAGAATGGCGACTCCACGCCAAACAATCACAAGCATGAAACGGGAGAATGCTTTGTTGAAGCGAAGTCTAATGGCATTCAGTGGATACGCTTCGCCAAGTGAAACAACGGGAACAACTCTGCGAAATGGTTCTGGTGCGCTATTTCTAAGGTCACCTTCCCCAGGGGTACAAACATACGAAGTTGGCTGTCAGTATGAAGAAATCGTCAGCGGTGAAACTAATCCCCTTGAAAACCTAACCGCTACCGACCAGTCAACACCAGTTTCTAATGAGCCTCCACGTCAGATGGTGAACAGATCGACTTCGCCGTTGCCTCTGCTTGCAACTCCAATGAAAAGCGAGTTGCCAATCCGATCGACGCCGCGTCGCCGAGACACGTGCGATTCCCTGATCACTTTCTTAACTCCACAAACCAGAGAAATTTGCACCGCAAGCCATGTACAAGGATCTATGGTATCATGGCTGGAAACAGAGGGAACGCCCATAAACTTTCCACTCGTGCTAAAGGACATGGCCGTCCAAACCGACTGTGCGGTTGAAGCTAGCGGTAGCTCTGTAGAAATCAACGGAAAGATCAAGGAAAAGTCATGCGTCGCTGATGCCTCGATCATGACTGAACTGTCTCCTGTAATGACGGATGCTAGTACGTCCGTTACTGGTACTTTACTAAACGACGATACAAAACTTCAGACTGTTGTAGTCACTGAAGTCGAGGCAAAAACAATCCTCGTGGATGCTAATACATCGGCTATTATCTTTCCTAGCGAAGGACTTACAAAGGCGGACGCTAGCACTTCATTCGGAATGCCAACGCATCAGGAAAAAGCGGAAATTACTGAGATGGCAGTTTTCACTGAGCTTGAAGCCAAGCTAATCCCAGTAAACGTAAACGTGTCTCCTACGTGTTTCCCTGAAAATGCGGTGGCTTCTTTCGCAGCGGCAGGTCAGCCCATTGGGCACGAAGTCATTACAACGGACGTGGTCACACAAACCGACTTCGAAGAAAAACTAGACACGATGCATGCGGCCGATGTGAAACGCCAGCATGGCGAACGTGTTCTTCACGCAACCCATGTGGAAGTGCAATGCGTTACTGAAATGACTGACGTGTCAACGCTCGCTTCTGTAGCCATAATGGATGCCGCATCACAGACGGACAAGGAGACTAAGGTATGATCCAAACTTCACATATTAACATGGTTCAAAGGAAAAACAGTACTAATAACATCGTATTGCAGAGTAAATGTACAATGTGGTATAAGACATTCCGTACAGTTATACTTGGTCCGTAGAAGTGTATCTGAAAAGGCCGATAAAACGCTCCTCCCGGTGCTTGATTCATTGTTCGGCGGTTATCTGCGACTTTTTGTTCTGTATGCGCCTGACTGTGTTATTGCTCTGTAGGTAGCTCCGATGGCTCCATGTAGAGCCACAAAGTTTTTATTCGCGACGCGCTGTATGGACAACCCTGCCTTTGCGGTATGTACCGATACCAAACTAGTTCTCAAGCTGGGTCGAATATCCCGTTTGATTACAGTACTTTCATCACGCTCGAAATAACTGAAAACGCGATGTGGGACTTAGCTAAAACCTGTTAAATCTACGGATACTTATATTTCATATTCAGCAATAACTTCCGTTACAAAATCAGTCAATTCATACGCGTCGATTCAACATTGTCTCTGCGTTCCACCAAATTGTTTTAATCTTTTATTACTATAATTTTTATTATATATTATATTTAAACATGTCTTAATGGCTTTTCATGGTAGGTGGCTCATACGCACTGAACCATTCACGGGAGCTTTTTACGGTAGATGCCTTGTGATAATTTCATTCATCGAAGTCATCGATAAAAGACATGAAGTTCATGTTCTGAAACTGGAATATGTTTTAGGTTGTACAGCATTACCGTGGCATGATATTAGCTGACTGATTGTGCGCTTCTTTTAAAAGTCGGCACGCTCACCCGCAGTAACCAACACAAAAATATCGCTTAAATAATACGTAGTACTATTGTTAGAAATATTTATGGACTTTTTTTGAGTCATATTTCTATGGTATTCATGTTTTGTTATTTCGCAGGGCATTGCATCACCATCCGAATTGCTGATCGGAATGAATGCCCTACTAGGCAGTGCCGAAAGTGCTAAAGATCCCGTGGAACCTTCAGTCAAAAGTGGTACAAAGTGGGAGCAACCCGTCCCAAAGAGACGAGATGTTGGTTGTCAGGCCCGCATCGAGGAATTATGGGTCATTCGAATGAAGCTTGACAAAGAGAAAGCGGCTCGTGAGGATGCGGAGAAACGATGCGACGAATTGTGGCGTGAAAAGAGCCGACTCGTTAAGACCAACGATAAATATCTGGCCTTCCTCAAACAGAGTGGTATCGACCCCAAAAAAGTTTTGAGCGAGGAAGTTGTTGCCAAACCTTTAAAGGACACCAGAAACATAGCTAGTACGCCTGCTACTGCTACTCGTAAGAATTGTTGAGCTGAGACAGGACTTTTTTGTACATAGCATAAATGTATAGGGCTGATAGATATTTCAAAGTAGAGTTAGTTTACATGACACGCAGTTCCTGTTACAGCTTCTTGCTGAAAAAAATGATTTACTATCTCTGCCTTGTAGAAAGGTAATAGGATATATTAAAAAAATCTATTATTTAGAAGAGCATTGGGCATTGTTCCATCTTATGACTTCGATTTATAATCATGAGTTAGGTCTCTTTAAACCAAAGTTGTGTATGTTTTTCCCTAACGTCAGTTGGTACACTTCATTTTAGCATCAACTCCTTCAACGGCTGAACAGTACCGACAAAAATATGAGGCAATTAAGGAGTTCTGTTGGCGACATCCTGACATGTAAGTATAGCAGTTTTGTGCAACGTGGCGCGCAGAAGCGTTGCGCCTAAATAGCGTACCCTTCTACAATGTGCTTAAATTAATCGAGCTTTGTAGTGAGAATGTTGATTTGAAAAAGGCGTCGAGCGAAGGGACGGATTGGGGGAGTACAAGAGGCTTTCCAAGGTATACGTTTCGCTGTTTAAATCTGATAACTTCAGCCTGATTTTGATACTTTCTGAGTTTTACGTTTGGTACTGCCCTAGTTAAGCCTTGCTTCATACAACTGGATCCTCTTATCATAAACCGAAATGTGTCTACACACGGCTTCGAACCTAGAACTATGGTTCTGTTAAGTTACAAAAGGTGAACAAAACTTAAAGTGCTACAAGCTATCGTGAAGTGGCATTACTCTGTTATAATACTAACCAAAAATTTATTCACTTATTCATTCAACATTTATTCATAATTTTACTTTTCATTTATATATTTATATATACTCCTTTTATTTTTACAGTAAGGATCGTCTGCTATCAGAACGGGTCGTACTTGCCCGACCTAAAGTCCCACAGGTCTCTCAAACTCTGAACTTCGGAAAGGATTCACCAGCAGCCGGCAAACTTAATTGTAAGGAAGAATTCTGTTTACTCGCTGGGAATTAGCTACCTTTGTTAAGCATGAATACATTTTTCAGCGATAGATTAGTCGTGAAGCATATTTTCCTTTGTGAGCGAAAAAGTTTTTTGTGAACGGAAGAGAAATCGCTTCGGAATTAAATCTGTAGGAGATCTTTGATCGTAAATATATCAAGTGAGTATAGTGAAGCTCTATAATAATGTGGTCATTAACAGTGGTTTTAGAAAATTTAAAAAGTTTACTACTACATCGATGCACTTCACGAGGCGATCACAAGTGACCGCGGTACTCTGTGTGTTTCCGCCCGCACAAAGCTAAATCCTGAAGGGATTTTATTTCAGCCACAGGCTGCTTTTGATAATTTTGGTAACATATACAAATAAAAGATAACCAGGAATGTTCGCTGGTCACACTCGTAGAACGAATCGAGGGCGCGATCTCCTGCCGGTTTCCGTTGTGAGAAATCGAAGTCATGTCGGTTATACCAGAAGTTCAATACGGCGAAAATATATTGTTTTTATATATGTCAATCATTGTGGACCAGATATGATGGAAATTATGATTGTCAATAAACACATGGTCGAACCTAGAAAAAGGTACAAACATCACGTGTACGTTCTTGCCACGACTAGATGACCATTCGGGTTTGTCTGATGAAATAAGTCAGGCGAACGGGAAAGGAAAATTTTAAAAGACCAAAGCAAATGTTCCGAATCAAATATGAGATCGAGCATCAATAAGAAATAATGAAATTCAGTGACCACGTGGTAACTAACACCTCTCGCAAAAAGCTTTACCCCAAAGTATATCCAGTATGAAAATGTCTGCTGTGTCGATCCTTATATCATAGAAACCTCGTACTAACTTAAGGTAATTATTTTACTTCAGCTGAAAGCGAAACACCGGGTGATCATTCAAATGAAGCTCAAGAAGATCGGCCGTTGGCAAATTTACAGGACGTTCAAGAGTTTCGTGGCGTTGATTATCTTGCAAAGGCTGATCCTGGAGAGTGTAGGCCATCATAAGTAGCTTCCATAGAATGTTTAACAATAACAGCCGGATATTGTGTGTACCGTCTGGAAGGACAGGTCTATTACGGATTGGTCAAACGAATGTTAAATTGTATATATAAACTACATATATTTGTATAGTCATAAAGTTCGTTTATACTGCAATGTACAAACGTGAAGTTAGTTTCCACTACCTAGGGAGGGCAATATAAACATCATGTATTTTATATGTTGTTGCTTAAAAGTGGTAAATCGGTGTTTTTATTAAAATATGGGCAGACACCTAATATACATGAGTTTTGAAAAGCAACATAGTACCGCTGTAGGTACAGGAAATCTCAAGAATAGATAGGTGTTAACCCTGCAAACGATCCATCATAAATTTCTCGAAAATAAGCAAAATGATTTCTTGTTGCTTTTTTTTTTCTGGCATCATGATTTTTGTAAATAAGTCTAATGTGCTGTTCGAGTTTTTAGAATTTCTATCTAGATTCATAATAGGCCTAGGTAAAGAGAACAAATACAAATCATTGACGGTTTACACAAAACAAGATAGTTTATTGCACGTAGTACAGGCACGGTGACACGCAGTTTCGTCTAATACGATAATACAACGCTGAAACAAAAGCCGCTCTAACAGAGTCAACTAGCAGTTTTATAATTAGTTCTGTTTCTGTCCTGTGGTCCCTATTGAGCACTATTGTGCTGTTTGCAGAAACAAAGCTACAGTTGATCACACAACACACGCACTGTTGGCACGTCCGATTGCTTCGGAGCCCCATTCAACAAGGCGAACAGTGTATCAGGAACATGCACTCTATAACAGAGCTTTCGTGACATTAACCGGTCTTCGGTGAACATTGCACACAGCCGGCTACCTCTTATTCTATCAATAATACTCCTTGGCCTACGTCGCACAGCTAATCCTGTCCACGCAAATAGATACGTAGTTCACTCTTAGACTGTTGTGTTAATCAGCCCCTTATTTCATTTCGCATAATTCCCACAAGTCATATATATAAATATATATATATAACCATAGACGAGGTACTGTACTGGGTGGTTCCTACTTCCGTAGTGCCTTTCATAATAGACGAGACCCCACTGGTGAACAAACGCCAACAATGCCCTTAGATGTTGAATGATTTTCATGGTTTGTAATAGCCGTTCGATAATGTCCTATAAGAAGGTCGCATCGTGTTACTCCGTTCTTAGTTTTTGCAACCGCAACGTGTTACTTTTTTTTGTTACGCAAAAAATAGCGCTTTATATAGAAGTATATAACAGATTATTACAATCAGGCAACAACGATCCCTTTATTCAACGCTGATATATTCTCAGATCATAACCTGGTCGATGTGGGCGCATTCCCCATTTCTAAAAAAAATGTATGTACAAAGGAATGTAGTTTGGAAAACGTGGCTAGCTCAAATTGACCTAATGCATAGCGTCAACTACAACTAGATACATACTGCTATTTAAGGCACACGAGTTTTTAAAAACCCTCGCAAAAGGAGAATTTCTAGACCACCCTGGCATACGCATTTAATGTATTTTTACTAACTGATGAAGCAAAGCTTACAACAGAATCGTCCTATTGTAAATATTAGAGCATTATATAAGTCTTATATTAATATTCAAACACTCCTAAGAAGGTAACAAACAACACCCGTGTGTAACATTCGATTTCGTCCCGATTCATCGTATAGATCTATATATGCGTAAATTGTGTCCATGAACGACTTGCACTCATCGAAGTATCTTACTGTCGAATGATCCTAGTGCTTGTAGCTCAAGTCTCCGACATGAATATTATGGCATGATCTTTTCATGGAATGGTAGAAGATTTAATAGTTAACATGAAAATAGTGTTGTCTCTAAAAGCTGCCTCTCTATATGCAGAACATTTTTTGCTTTTTGTCTTCTGCAATGTGTCTTCGAATAATCTTTAATTAATCAATGTTGTCATAGCATTCACAACTACACAACAACGGTCAAATATTAAGTATAGCATTAAGCATCATCATCGTTACTAACAAAACCGATTTGAAAGTGATGGAAAGTAATGTACAGATCGTGGTCGTAATTAATAAAATAGACGTATACGCACTTCGAGAACATTTTTCGCTTGGCGACAACAAGGTCCTTGCTTTTCAAAAACTACTCATTGAAAAATCCCTTCTAAATAGAGGGTAAAAACTTCAGTTGTTTTTTCAACCATTAAGGACGTACCGCCTCTGCAATACGACTTCATTCAGTGCTTCCCGTCGGCTCTGTCTACCATTTAATATGCCAATATAATTTAGACATTCTGTACTAGCACAGAAGCCCCCAGTAGGACCACTCGTTCCTCTTAACTGTTCTCTTACTTTGTTTTTTCGTTCACTTTATACTACACTGATCGTGGGTCAAAGTCAACGCCAAAGTCAACAGTATTGTCTCTGTAGACTGCCTCATGAACGCTTAATCGTTTAATTTAATACAACTGTACTCCTGTGCAGCACGCCATCGCTTTTTTCTTTCGTTCAACATCCAGTTCGTATCTGAGAACAAACATCTATAGGTTGGTAGATCGAACTGTGAGACATTTGATTATCTATCTATTCTATGTACGGCTTATATTTAGAAAAAAATATATTACAATTACGTTCTGCAAAATAATGCGGACTACGTAATCGAGATTCTTCCTGCAATACCACAACAACTATACTGAAGTAGTGGAATAGACTAGCAAGCTAGGGATCCGCCTTTCAGTAGTATAATAAACTAGAAAATTTTTCAACTATGATGCGTTATTTCCGTTATTAGATTATAGTACAAGGTACGTATGAGTAGTAAACAACCCAAGCTGAAAACAAACGCGCGCAGCTGCGTTTGAAAATAAATAGCAGTTCAATCTCGCACAAAGTTTCATGTTCAGTTGGCTAGAGGGGATCAAGATCAAAATCGTCCTTGGGTCGGGCCCGATGAGAAATAAGCAGTAACAATGAGTAATGTAGACGGGACGTCAATGCAGCCCAATATTGCAGGTACTCTTTAGACAGGTTGTTAAGCGAAGACAAGTATTAATCGTAGCAGACGGGTTGGGTTAACCTTAGTCGTTCAGCCTATGTTTAGGTATCTTAAACGCATGGAAATGTTCCTGAGATGGATTCACCTTATTCGTCTACTTATCCAACTGGTTGCATACTGTTTTCGTGGTGTTTAAATGTAAAAATGTGCAAAGCTGCCGGCCTAACTCGGTCGCCATCCAGTAGCGTTGGGGCCAAATTTGTAGACAAGTCGTCGGCCAAAAACTGGCAGCAGAACTTGATTCTTGTAGTAATATCTGAATGAAGTACAGTATGAAATATACATTTTTTTACCGATATGATACGGCAGTTGTGGAACGGAATAACGATATCTTAAATGTGTATATTCGGTATCAAATGGTGCTTTCCTTATTTCATGACATAGATATCTCTACATATCATCGTTGAAAAAAGATAGACAAAAAAAAGTTACCTCATTGCGCGTGAAAGCTTCTCGTAGGTCATTCGAGGATTCTGTTTTCGATCGCCCCACATTTTAGCTACTTTGTCGCTCTGCACAAACTTGAAAACGCCTTCCTCCCGCCGTTCCCATCTGATTAGTGACGGGTTCGTTTCGGGGTTTAACAGTAAATCTCTACAGAGGAGAAACAAAGCAATTATCTTTGTTTGATTTATTGACGAACCTATTCTTTGTTCTATGTATTAGTAGAAGTTAAGAAAAATGCCGTTGTAAGATTCAAATACTTAACTCTGAATTGTTACTATTGTTGAAAGCGCATCATATCTTCGCAGCGAAATTTCAGTCTATGCCTAAGCAGAATACATACCTGATAAACTCCCAAAGCTTCCCCATTCCCTTGTTGGCATTGGAGGTGGTTCGAGGCTCGGAGGTATAGTGTGAATGTGAATCGGGTGTGCTAACCGAGGAACTGCAAGTTGAAAGCGCATCGGCCTCTTCTGGTCCCCCAACAAAAAGAAGTTGCGTATTAATGGTATTTTGTTCCCCGGTTCCGTTAGCCTGGGCTAACTGAAGACTGTGCGGCCGTGAGGGTTGGCTGGAATTGTTGTCGCTGTTAGTTGGGCTAGTGAGCTGATGCTGGTGCAGCTGTTGCTGCTGCTGCTGCTGTTGCAAGTGATGTTGTTGGTATGTGTTATGTTGAAGTTGTTGATAGGCGTCGAGATCGAGGCGCTCCTCCATCTCCTCCGATTTGATGCAGACTTGAGGTTGGCTTCCTGAAAGCGGGCACCACACGATGCAATACAGCCGAAAGCTGCTTAAAAGTTGTTTTAGCGGCAGTAAGCTTCGGATGGAGCTTATCGGATGGGACCATTGGCGACATATGAAATGTACGTATTTCTATATACACGTGCTCATTTGGCCATTTTAGTTTGGCTATAAATTCAATCATCGGCGAAAATTTAATGGTTATTGAGTTTTCGATTCTGGAATAATAATGAGTACTGTTTAGTTATTTTACATAAAAGTGATATTTCGATACGTATAGGATATTGTTGTGTGTCGATTTTTTACATTATTTGAATTATTCTAAAGAGTCCCCTACGTTTCTTACAAGTTTGAATTATTTTCTATGAAAATGATTGCACGTACGTATTTTTCACCAAGCTTTTGAGCCACGGCCCGTCGCTGCCTTGAGAGAATATGATGAAATACTATATCAATTTAAACAGCAGGGCACGATACGATCTAGCAAAAACATCTTCATTTTGTACCACTGCCTTATATCAGACTTAAGCTGCAACGCCTACATTATATATTGTAATAAGCGCGGCAGTATACTATATGTCCGTTCTGCGATACTGCCGTGTAAAATATCCAATTAATCAATCAATGATTCGGTATGCCGTCATTAATATCAACTACGTAGAACTACTTGTTTTTCGTCTTCGCGCTTTTCATCGTCATCGCACTAGACAAAAGACAGAGGCAACTTCTGGCGCAAATAACCGAAAGGCGAAGTACAATTTGTCCGCAGAAATTCGCCGAGTTCTCGTTTACCACTGCTTTGCTGTCCAGTGTCTAACGTTCGTGAAGAGATGCTGGCAAATGACTAGAAAGTAGCGCGGTATTTTGATATAGGGAGTGAAGCAAGCGGAAATCGCTCAGACGGTCACTCACTATTTATTATAGTTGTTCAGTAAAAGCAACGACTACAGCGAGCGCGACGGGTGATCTAGTCCGTCCAGTACAATGACCGATTCAAGGCGCCGAGATGTAGTAAGAAACCTTTTGCTACGGTGACAAATGTCACCGTCATAGCAGCTGCATGAGGGGTACACGCAGGGACAGTACTACGATAGTCGTAGGCCTCTCTTCCTAGCTGAAAGAAGCAGGTAGGATCGTCACTACATTGTAGTTGGTTGCCTACAATGGTCCAGTCATTAGCTGTAGTCACAAACCGTCCAGAAATCTGCGAGAGTTGGCAGTTTGGTGGCAGCTAAAAGAAAATCACAGCTAAATCATGCAGCAGCCCTTTTGCTGCTCGTGCCACCGGTGTAAACGGAACAAGGCCGCGAGAAGTTCTGCCTTCTCAAAGATGGATGCAATAGAGTCAATTGCAAGAGGTCAGTAATCGCGCTGAGATAATCCGCCATCGAGGATTCCTTAGGATTCCTCAATGGTAGCAAATCATAGTGATAGTAATGGTGTCACCTACAGGTAACGAGGACTATCAGTTTAAACGGCGCTCTTACTGTTGCTAACTAATGCCTCCGAATCAACGTTACTGTATTGACAAACACATACACATAAAATTATAATCGACTTTTCTTATTATCGACTCTATCAAACCGATAACCACGCGCATGTTTTTTCTACTACCGTTGATGGGTAGAGCTGCGAGCTCTCGTCCATAGCGATGATGACGAAGATCATCTAACCACAAGGATGTAACAGGCACCGAAACGAGTGACATGAAATGTAGAAAACTTAGATTGTCAGATGGTTAATTTATCCTCTGTTCTAATTCTTATATAGAAAAGCCCCTGCATATTTGTATGCATTCATATGCGAACATTTATATAACATTCAGACTAATGGAGAGCAGACGGCTGTGTCTATTTATCGACATCATATTCACAAGCGGACAGTTTGGGTTCGGCCCTATACACAATATAATATACGGAAAAATAGACTTCTGTAGAGTATAATAATGACGGACTTTTTTTGGGACATCCATCTAGTCGTTGCGGTATTTCCTTTAATGGTGCAGCGGTAGCATGTGTTGTCTGCTAAACTTAGGAGCACATGAGCTGATCCAGGTTCAAGACCTGGCACAGACCTACTTTATTTCGTACCGAAAGGGTTAGCCGTACGAGGCAACGATTAACGACAGTGTCGAACGTAATACAGGATGCATATATACTATTAGTAATATGATAATGCGGAGGTTCGGGAAAAATCTAAATCGAAATTTAATGCTGTGATACAATTGAAGGTGGCACCATATCTTATGAGAACAAATCACCTGCTCTGCCATTGAAGAAAGTAGATACCCTTCAAGGCCCATGCCTTTTCAAATAGATTGGAAGGTCAATGACAATTGGACGCGTTTAAGCAGGACGTAAAAAAGATACTTTGTAGACTATACGTAGACTAAACGTATATTACAGAGAGATGTCGTTTGGATCTCAATCCTGTTCAAATTCAAATGTTCAAGAGGTATTTAAAATAGGACAAGGTATACTCAGCGGCTCTATAAAGTTTTGTCCTGTATTATCACTAGTGTTACGTGGTTAATTTGATGATCAATGCATAGGCTTGGGATAGATCACATGAATGTCGTAAGCCGATGCAACGCATTGCAAACAAACCATGTAAATTGGCCATGTCCAAGGACCAACAGCTAACGTAAAGCACCAACACTAAAATGTACCGTCTTTTATTGTATGCTTATATTCTAGATATGCGGTTAATCTTAATGAAGTGGAAAGATTGAGGCTACAATAAAGATCTCTTGGTAGAGAATCTAAACAAATTACCAGCGCGTCGTCTAATCAGAAAGAAAATGATGTCTCATAATAGAACGTTATATCGAACAAAATAAGCTACGCTAGCTTACTTCCGTAGGGATTTCGTTTTCCGTTCTGCGTCTAGGATATGTCGACGCCAACAAACGGCTCAAACACAACCGCGCATAGCAACACATTAATATGAAACTAGACCACTAGATTATATATGAGGCGCACGGGAGGCCATGGAACATTAAGAAACGCCATTACCACCGAGTTGACACTAGGCCAATGTTATTGTATCTGGACGCGAATATTGCACACAAAACAGCCTAGCGTCAAGCTACGGCGTGTCGACGACTTATTTGTCAGAAGGCCCATGTCTGTCAAGGACTGTGAACCAACCCATGTGGCGATAATGTCCACAAAATGTTTTTGCTGTTTGCAGGACCGACTCGATGCATCGCACTCATTCAGATACTAGCTAGATGTCCTGAGAGCAGCTCTTGAACGCTACTGCTGATTTTCAAGATAACTAAATTGAGTCGGAAATGCATCTGTCTCGCTGTGAGATAAACGAATTAGCTTGCAAGGTGAATCGATGCGATACTATCGACACGGAACACTACGAGATGCGATCATAGACGTCGCAAGTAGCGAACGCGTTTTTGTGTTGACAGCGGGTACGTCCGATTGATGCCATATTAGGTTAGATGAGACCGATCTATTGCGACCAGACCTGGTCTGATAGTTGCTTGCCGACTGGAGCGACGTTCAACGCCTAGCAAAAAGTCTTTAGTTAATCATATAAACACAAGCTATGAAAAGTCATCTGCGACAAACGCGATTTTGGTTCCTCTAAAAACGTTTGACACGAAACAAAAGGTAACCAGACCTGAGATGTAAAAAAAACTTTAAATTCTATTGGCTGAATTGTTCTATTCAGGCGATAAAGGTGCAGAGAGAAAGAAAGATCAAGGATAGCTTTATCACAGCCCGGAACATCGTTTACGAATTTGCACAGGCGCTTTTTCGTCTGGTTGTTTGCCTAATCATCACAGTACTATGAAGTAAACCGATGACAATCGTTACATAGTGTCACAAGCTGATAACATGAAAGGACAGATCCAAGCAGGTACACTTTATTCCAGAGGGCGTCGACAGTATAGGGAATATACTCAACGGATTGAACGTATGAAACTTTAATGTAAGCCGACTCCGAAGCGAAAATATTAAATACGGTAGCCCTTACTTGCTTCGTACGCATATGAGGTATCATTACCAAGAGGTATCCGTCTTTGTATGCGCTTTCATTATGGCTATAGCAACTCCGTGAACTGAAATAGGCTTTGATGAAGACTTTTGAAGAAGATGGTTGATTTTTTATCGTAAAGTTAGCTTGTTAAGCCGCTGACTTTTGTTGAAGATCACAAGTACTCTGTGGGCGGCATATGGCTCTGTGACTACGCTTGATGACTATCGTATGCTGTAGCTGTCCTTAGCATGTAATAGGCTGTAAAAATACACGTGCCTACGCGTATTTTCTCAGCCTAAATCAGCAATAGAAAAATGAGCTGTGACGGAGAGTCAACGCGAGTTGTACCATAATGCATTACATAGGTGCGTCACTCACAACACGAGCTTCTCTCAGGCAAAAAAATACATTCATGTGTAAATGCACGTAATAAGCGTTATGCTCGTACTGAATTTCTGTTTTTCTACCTCTGCCACCCGTTAGTGGCCATCCACGCAGCGAATACACGATTGTCTTTCTGTTGTATACATACGATCAGAGAGAGATCCGTCTGACATGATATAGGTCACCATCTTGATTCGTTCGTGAGAAAAGTTGATGGTAGAGAAGTTCATTCAATCAGTACTAACCTCTGTAATCGCTGGGAGAGAACGCTGTTGGGTTCTGAAGTTGCATGACTACGCCCGTCTGTTGACTCACGTGGTTTGACTGGAGCACCGATCCTGCACTCGATGACCAGCCGTTGAGCAGCAGATCGCCGGATACAGGTGGTGGTACAGGTGAAACCGGATGCAGCTGCACAGGTGATGAAACTTGTGTGGCGTTGAGATCTAGCGGGGGTCCAAACTCGGTTGGTGGACATGCTTGTGGCTGGCTGGTTAAAGGCAGACCCATTGGAGTAAGTCCGGTAACGGTGAGGTAAGGCGATCCCGATGGTGGAACAGCCTGACCTGGTGGCATCGCCAATGGACCGAGGCCGCTTAAACCGGCAAGCGGTTCTAAGTCGTAATAGGCGATTGTGTCCTTATTGTCTTCGAAGAAAAATGCTTCATCGCCCTCACTCAGTGGAAACTGAAACGGCATGAAAATGGAAGAATTATACATATTATTAACTTCTCCGAAGCGCAATACATATTTAATTATGTATAAGTAGCAATGTGAAACGTTGAAAGCGACATGCTTCGTTCAGCAAGAGGTAGCTTAAAATACAGTAAAGTTTATCGCTAGTTAAAGCGAAACATTTCTCTCAGAAATGAAAACCCTACAGAAATATCATGCCAGATTCTTCGGGGACAAGCAAGCTTTAAACAAAGCATTTAATAGGACAGGGCTATTTAAACGTCGTATTTCAATCATCCATAGAACAAGATACTATCGAAATGTAATTTTTTCAAGTTTATTCAATCTTAAAATTCAACTTCTACACACGATTGAGCGACTCCACATATAAGTGATCAATCATCATTGGCCTTTTACTGATCGCACCTGTGTTGCAACGAACGCAGTAGACTTCGCATAGACAGCGCCATTGCCCTAATATCAGAATATGGATATGTTCTGGATCTAATATAGTTCTAAAGTCTATTTCTTATCCATCAAAAATTATAACCCTTCCCCTTCCCGCGCAGCCTACATTACTTTTGCATAAAATCCGGACAAAATTCACTTCGCTTTAGCTATTTGGCCATCGATGGTCAATGCTCGACGTTGCCGATGTATCGTCGCCTGCCCACGTCCGTTGGAGATGATCTGAGAACTGCGGAAGTCGTTGCCAACATCCGGAGAGCGGGGCAATTTGAATTTAAATATTCTGGTGCGCGAGCCGGAACCGCTATTACAACAGAACGCGACGGTAACGCCGGGCACTGCCGATGTACCTTGTGTCCGTCGATCCTGTCTTTCTTGTTCTCTTCCGAGCGTCTTTGTCGTGGTGTCCGTCTAATGTGGTCTTATGCAGCTGCATGCAATCATCAGCGATTTTTATTCTGTTTGTTATTTGTCTCAGAACATCGCTGAATTTGATAGATTTATGCCAAGCAAGCCAGCGATAGCCATCATCATCATATAACCAAACAAGTATGGGATGCAACATCTTCATTGTCATCATGGCCAAAGCAGCACGTCTTACGGGTTTTGTCCGTTCGCCCACCCGTTCCGCCGCCTATCCACATAGCTTAGCTGGCTACAAAAGCATCTTTCTGCTCCACAGAACTCTTAGCAGCATAGCCAAGTGACCAAGCAATTCCCCATCTTCGGCGATCGGGAACCAAAGCGCAGTGCGATCAAGCGCGCTAAAACAATGCGCGGTCTCCACAGTATCTCAAAGCGGCTCCGACAGACCGATTTGCAATATGAGGGTTTTCCGCCCCGACATCACTGACGGCTTATGGGCTCGACTGCCGTCGCTCTTCGACTCGTCGTGCTTCGTGCGTCAACATGCCATTTGCACACACGCGCATAGGCTTACACATAAACGTAGCATCGACGTAATCGCGGTGTTATAGAAAGGTTAGGGCTCACAAGCTACATCCGTAGCTGCAGCATATAAAATAAGATCTTAAAGCACCAAACTGAAAAAGTTGGCGAGCGTCTCATCGCTTCAATCATAGTCCTATTAGTTAATACAACTTGGAAACGATGCAAAAATGACCTGTCTTGCGGATTATTATAGTAGCATTCAATGGTGGTCGATATGTGAGATCTATTTTTTTTTTTTCTTAATATTGTCTAGTGCACACTTCGTTCATTATACTTACTCGTATACAAAAAGTATTAAGTGAGTCGGTTTTTATTTTACCGCTAAATACAAAGACATATTCCATAAAGTAAAGTAAATATCGGGCAAGCTTTGCTGAGATACCAGGAATGAATGTTACTACTACTACATCTGATACACAAACAAAAACAGATTAGGGCAAGGTAACAACACTGTACTGCAAATCATCTCGTTTTTAAAGAAGGCTTTCGTCGAAACAATAACAGATTTAAATCTAATGGCTAACATTGATGCTGTACTGCTGGGGTAAGTTATTTTATAATACGTAAGGCAACTTACAACGACCTCTGTATCCTCCTTGTATGGTTCAAGCGTTATTGGGGTGTAGCGAAAATTAAGAAGTTTAATGACTTTATGTCGAGGCGACGCAAGTGACGATCGGCAAGCTAGCCTATAAAAACGATCCGAGATGTCAATAAGTAGCAACGAAAACAGAAGTAAGTCTCGAACGGGTGAAACTTTAATGTCAGTATATGAGACCCAATACAGCACCCATACCATAGATGTGTCGGGTCAGCGGACACAAAATCTTGATTACGCGAAGTCTAATAATTTTTGTCGTCAATTTTTCATAGCTGGTAGCTAGCCAATCTACCTTTCTTTTTTATTTAGGAGCAGCAGTAAAAATTTTGCCAGTGACTCTTAATTTTTCGTACTGAAGTGACCAATGGACTGGGCGATACGCTGGCGAACACGGGGTCAGAAGAACAAATCTGCTCTCGGTTTGATGTCGGATCGCTCGGAGAATCATCAATGTCATCATCGTATAATTTGCCGCTGCATCATTGCTGGCGCATAGCACAGAAGAGTATTCGTATACGAGAACGCTCGGTGACGGAGCAGATATTTCTGCCCGCTTGTTGTTACAATAGTCGTGGTAGGGAAAAACATCGTTTCGAGTAGGAGACGGCGGAAAAATCATGTATAACCTCATCTTCGTTCACCGTTGTCGTTAACGACTTTCCGCACCGATTTCTTCTGCATCGGCAGAAAGCAAATGTCGACAGTCGAGATTCGTTTGTTAGCACGAATCAGAGCAAGCAATACGAGCGGAAAGGCTGCTGTGTTGGCCAACAACATGTTAATTACAGGTAGGTTAATGCGTTACAGACGCACCGTCCGTAATCGTTCAGCGTAATCATGCTGATATCGAGGTGATGGCGCTTAGCAATCAAACGTATTCAAGCAACAGGGCCGATTCTTCAGTAATAACGGCTGATGCTTGTCAGATTGCGTCGCCAATTGGCCGGCGGCAGGTTTTTTAATCATTCGATTTTTTGTTTCGAGTTCGATGCATCGCACCACTTCGATTGCTGACCGACGCTGGAATGAAACCATCCCAGAGAGACATGAACGTGCTTGCAGAAACACTGCAAGCAAACAAAGTAATACGGACGTAAAGCAAGCGCCACCGCAACATTGCTTCCGGTCGGCGATCGATATTTGGTGACGGGCTGTAGCAAATGCCTGCGCTTTCTTGCCTCAGTTGAAGACGGCACAACTGATGACTCACATTAGCCAGACAGACAGACAGACATTAACGAAACGGATCCATGACAGAGCCACAGGGTGAGAATGGCTACCGCGATTTTATAAATACAAACAACGAAAAGAACAACAACATAGAAAAATATCATCATTACATCCTGCCTAGCAGTCGTGCTGCCAGCCGTACTGTCACGGAAGGAATACTTCATACATAGTAATGTCTTGACTCGGATGGACTAAATCGAGTGGCTAAGATTACAAACTATACAAATCGGGTATAATTTTCGCAGCCATTCTGACGTACTGGTTCATCACTTTGTTAGCCAAACGCCGACAGGTTGTCTCTCTTTCTTTCGCAAAATCCTCCTCCGGCAGAGCGTGCAATCGTCGCAGTCTGCTCGGATCCGCTAGTTGATGGCGTCGTCAATAGGCTGTCGTCACTGGTCACCGGCGGCACAACCTTGGCAGCAGTGCTGCTAACGTACGATCAAGGGATTCCGCGCGGTTGTAGCGCATGGGCAACAAGGCATAATAGCTGCTGGTACGTGATGAGCGATTGCTATCCAGCAGACGCTGAACTTAGTCAAGTGCTTCACGAAATCAGATAACAAAGAAATATAAGCATGAAGAATATCATGATTGTCACTATTAGGACCAACAGCAGCGCGGCTGTGGCTGCGACGCTCGCGCCACAAGCCACGAAGTAACAGGTGTGGGGGGCGAGGTAAGCGTCCGAGGCAACGCATGAATCAATTTCAATTGTACAACTATCTAGAGATTTTCAGCATTCATTTATCTACGCGACTTATCTATATCAGCTACGGTTTAACGTGTATGTATGTTCGGGACACAATTTTGCCCTAGAACAATTTCTGATGGCGGAATGTCAAACCGGTACAGCAGGTGATATTTTTAGAAAACCTGTCTATTTTAGGCTTAATAGGCACATGATCGTGTTTAGTGGGTAGTAAAACCTAAAAGCGTAATTGCAGAAAATATGTGACGTTTGTATTGCTGTAAGTACAGCTAAATCAGCGATTGTGATACACTGCATCGTATCGTACGCTGTGTAAACGAAACTAAAAATAGATATGCCATTGTTAAAAAGGGACAGATACAGAAATCCGTTTGATATAAACAACCACTAGACTATCTATCGCAGGCGTCAAAGTTCCACAAGCGTTGCTTGCTATCAATCAATCACCACAGCATCTGAAACAACGCAGAATGCGAATTTTTGTTCGATGCCTTTTAACCGGCAAAAAGGACAAGAATCTTAAAGCCTGAAGCTGGTTATCGGGCCACGTATAAATAACAAATCAATACACAGCTTGATAAATCGTATTGATGGATCACAGGAAATGAGACATCCTAGAACAAATTCGACTGTCGTTATTACTTCCCACACATGAAAATTCGACGATTGTGCCCTACGATTTGAAACCAACGATAGATAACTTTGTAGTTACATGACACTGTAGCTTAACGTATTCGCAAATAATTTAATTAGTTAATAGCTAACTTTGACGTGCCTCTGGGAAGCAGGCTTACATGTAATTGCAATATCGGGCCCACGTATTCGGAGCAAACGTGTCGAAACACAGTAATCGCCTATACGTGTATCCGACGCGAGTTCAATACGCTCCGCGCCATTTAATATATGCTGTGGGTTTACTGAACGATTACTCTGGTTGTTTTCAACGTAGAGGGTGGTCGCGGCCAGTTGATTATGTCGACTTGTAATAGCGTCAGCTGTAGGGCTCGTATCTCGGCGCAAGGCTATCTTTGCTTTGTAGCGTTAGGTAAA